TTTAGGTGAAGGTAAAATAGAATTGATGAGATCTAGAGAATAAAATTATTTATCTACCAAGTGTTAAGAAAAAAAAAAAAGAAACGATAATACACAATAATCAGTATACATAAAAATTCCATCATTAAAAATATTGGAAAGCTAAAATTAAGTTTTTAAACCTAACAAAGAACCCAAGTGAAGAATATAAAGGTGGATAATACATAAGAATATATATTTAGAATTAAATACAGGATTGTGTATAGTATTCTTTTGACGATGGTTATAGTATGAAGAAGCTCGTGCGGTCAATTAATTTGTGCCTTCCGTTTTGAGAGTTGGTGGCTGGCCTAAAATAGAGGTACGATTTTAATTGGAATAAGTGCCTCGCGCCTTGTAAAAAGTAGTAGTTTGTTCGAAGGGACCGGTCAGGAACGACGTTCCTTAGCCCGCTTCGGGCAGTCCTAAGCGTACCGACGCTGAATCGTCGAATGAACGAACAACTGGCCGTGGCCGGTCCGTGTTGCTTCTTGCACCGCCATTAAACTGAATCGCGAAGCTGTCGCTTCCTAATTTATTAGGGCGCGGTGCACGCCCGGACTCGAGGATAACTCGACCGAACTCGATTTCTCTCTTGCGTTCTGCGTTCAACGAAAACGATACGTGCGAATATCTTCCCCCAAGATTCTAAGTAAAAAACGAATTAATTCGATAAAGTGTATTAACTGGGTACGGGAGACCTCGTATATTTTCTTCCCTTTCTTTTCGGATAAAAGAAAAAAACAAAACAAAACGGAAAGTAAGAAAACGCGTTGGATATAAAATACGATGGACGTTCTTGGGGCTTGTTAAAGAGGGTGCTGCGTTAAGGTTCACAACAGGATGAGGGAGAAGATAAAATAAAGTGAGGAGAGAATTTTTTTTTTTTACTCCATTTAACTGGTTCGATGTTTTGTCTAATGTCTAATGTTATGTAATATATTTTCTTCGGTTGGTTTATAAGTGACGTGTAAGAATTTTTCATGGTTTTTAATATTATTATTAAAATTATTTATAAAAATTATATTTTTCAATGAAATTTCTGTTTAATTTTTCATTAGAAATAAAATAACATTTAAAATAAACAACGTTAGGGTGCACCAGTTATAACTTAGTATTGTAAATTTAGTATAGTAAATTGCATTCTTTTATTCTTTTTCAAAGTACTTATTTTTGCTATTACAATAATAACACTAATACAGTCTCAGGATATTCTGAATATCTTAATGCAATCTGATATTTGCATAATGATACAATACATGATGAAATCATTTTTGTCATACTCAATGTATATACGAATAAACAGATTACATCATATCTTCTTTAGTTAATTATTATAGTATAAGAACAATAATATATTATTTTATGAAAAAAAAAAGAATTATAGTATAGTAGATGTATACTATATACAGTAATGTTTAATTAATCAACTTATCTTTATTGTTTCTATAATAACAGAGACAAAGTCTCAAGATGTATAATACTTGTTAACGTAAACTTATGTTTGCATGAATTTTTAGTTAAAACAATTCTTTTTTTTTTCCTATTCATGATTACCGACTAGAGGGAATACTTTGTTTAAAGTAGGGTTAATACTAACCTTCATGTTAAAAATCGAGCATGAAGAAACCTATGTAAAAGTAAAAGGATAGAATATGGAGAAAGAAGGGTGGTGTGTTTGTTCTTATCCAGTAGAACGGACAATAGCATCACCGCCAAGTGTAGCGGACAAACAAATAGCCAATTAAAATTCCGGTTGCACGACGAACATACTTGTATCAGCTGCAGTACTACTACCGACCATTGTGCACCGGAGGCATGCGCTAGTCGATGTCTGGATCGGTTGACTGCAACTCCTACGAGAAGATCGGTTGCTTACGACCAACCTTCCTGAACTATCTTTGTTGTCTGTGAGCAACCGGAGATGCAACTCGTTTGCATCGTCGTTTGGCTAAATCGTACCTATCGACGAGACACTCTTATCAACCACCAATCTCTTCTACCTTTACCTATTTTCTCTTTCTTATTATATTTACTGTTTTCATAAGTCATTTTAAAAAATTTTTCTTCAAAATTAGAGTAAACGTGACACCTAACAACGGTCATACAAACAATTATTTCGAAACGTAAAATTAAATAAATAAAATTTATGTTGTTAAAATAAACGGCTTGTGCTTAAACACTGTGAAACTATAGTATTCTAAATTTTTCTCAATATATAAATATATTCATTAATGTATTCATATTTTTGCATAAGTTTAATCAACAATTCTACAGAATTCTATTATTTTCTAAGAAAGATAATACAGATTCGTCTAGAAACATTTAGGTAAAGGAAGGCTCTTTCAGAAAGATAACATTTATCATAATGTCATATCGTTAAACTCGTAAGCATAAGCATATCATAATTAAATCTAAAATTAGTCTAATTCTGTACTATCACTAAGTTCTAGAATAGTTTAGACGCAGATTTCGTTCAAAAGAAATGGATTTTCTTTTTAAGTAATTTAATGAAAATCGTATATAATTTCAACAAGAATCAACGATATTTCTTTCATATTTATTTTAATTTGTTTCTATTTTATATAACATTTTACCCAAACACGTAAGAGAATCCCGATCAGTTTAATAAATTTTTGAATATAAATCGTTTATTCGATAAAAAGAAATGATAGAATTTTTATAAAGGGTGGTATAGAAAAAGAGTTTAATATTTGAAGGGCTTAAGGTACTCATTGATACTAAAATAAATGAAACAGACAAAATCATAAACTGTTAAACGTTTCTATAATATTATAAAATTAATGATGAATACAAATCATGAACAGAAATCTATAATAATACCATCCCTTTCCTCTAATTAATTAATATATTTAATAAAACAATCGGAGAAATAAAAAATTGAAAAATATATCAAACTCGTTCAGGTATAATCTGATATTAAAGTATTATACAATCGGTTAATGAATCATTTCTTTTCACCGAGAGGTATCGTTCCTTTTTTTCACACGTGATTTCTGCTGGACGGTAGTAGGACCCAACCCAAAAGGTTCTTTCGGACGCATTCAATTTTAACGTTAATAATCAGTTAAAAAAGAAAAACAACTTAGGACCTTAAACGCGGCCATTTATCAATATCGATCGATATTGCGAATGCGGCTTAACGACGGTAAGATAACATCGTAACTTCCATGCATATCCCACTTCGGAGTTATTGAATCGCGTCAAATAATATACGAGCCAATAATGTATGAATAGTCCTGCAATTATGGCTCGGCGATCTTATCTAAGGGTCAGTTATAATTTAGTAATCGCTCATTCTCACCGCACGCAAGCGTAAGAGGAAAAATATTATCGAAGAAATGATACATTCAACTTTTTTAAACAATATAATCCTTGTTTCAAATTTTCTTTATACAAATAGTATCGTATATTCCATCCTCGCATAATTTTTATATCCTTCATTATCAAGTTTGTGACGACGACTTTATATGACGACACATAAATATATATGTTACCGCTAAAGCTGTTAATATGTACATAACTTAACTAATCTACAGATTAACCGATTGGATCTGTCAACGTGCGAAATTAAAAGTTTCCCGCATTTTACCTTGGTAATGTACACATTAACGGCTTCTGTATTTTTAAAGTGTTGTTAAAGAAAACTGTTCAATATCTTTATGTCAAACAGCAATAAAACAATCTCTTGGTACTAGGCAAGATTCAGTGATTGTAAATCTAAATGTATCACAAATAAATCATTTTGTTGCTTCTTCGAAGTTATTAGTATTAAAAATATCTATTCTCCAATCTACTATATATTATTTTCTTGTATACATTGACTATCAAAAACGATACATTTTATCCTCCTAATTGTCGAACTTCTTTCCTGTTTCTCATTTTTTATCTCAAGCGATTTAACGAGTCCCTCTTGTATACTGAAATATAAGAGCCGATAAGGGTCTCTATCTATCGGCATATAAATTAATTGAAATTAAGACGAACTACCATTCTCGATAATCATCAAGACATTTCGATACAACGTTCGTTGATTTTAATGATCGTTAAACGACGACTCTTAACCCTATTCGATCGTTTTCGATAAAAGATAATCGACATTACGATATCATTTTTCTTTTATTTTATGATTCTTTAGCTTCACGCTCAGGCAATCTTTGCGTTGACTCTTATTACTCTTATCGTCGATTAAAAATTACCATTTATCCAGAGATACATAGTTATAAACGTTTATAAATATACCTATATACATACATAGTGTACCAAATCAACTTTAATTAATTTGAAATATTTCAGTCCTTTGAGATTATACGAGCAAAATTTTTAAAACAATGTTGCATACCATTTGTGAAAAGAGAATTTTTTTTTCATTATTACCATATATTTATTACATACATAAAATACATTTAACCAATTAGATGTGTATTCCTCATTGAAATCAGTATAATCAAATTATTTAGTCGAATCGACACGATGTTGATTACACTAGTCAAACGAACAAAATTTTTTTAGCTGTAATAATATTGAATTTAGTTTTAATCGAATGACTATTTTATTTTTTCATAAAAATAATTATTTTTTTCTTATTAGTATATATTTATTTACCTAATTTAAGCATATAATTTATGAGATCAATTAGTTAGAAAAATGTAATCTCTAAAAAAAAATATGATCTTCAACTTCACTTTAATTTTCGGGCGAATGCTCTGTCCATCTGAGCTACCTAAGAACAACTTTTGGACCAAATTATTCAAATATTTTATCAGTTCATCGTAGTAAGTATTTATATTGTCTCTAAACTACTTCCTTTATTTCTTCTGAAATATACACACTCGCATGGTACCTTTTACAAGTGTATAATTTTTCAGATGATGAAACAGGGAGGAAGAGTGAAGGACCTACTTATAAATACATTACATACCATGCACAGATAAAACTATTGGACCAATTTGGGCTTCGGTTGTCTAGACTGGGACTCGAACCCAGGACCTTTCGCTTGCCGAGCGAGCGCTCTACTATCTGAGCTATGAAGACACATTAACCTTCGATTCATAATATTGTATATAATATGATGTATTCGACTAACTTATAAATCCGTACGTTTGAAACTGTAGTTTTGTTCTTCTAATTAGAAAGAATAGAACATACTTATGAACAAATCTAATAGAATAATGATTATTTATTTTATTACGTATATTTAAATGTTAATACATATTTTTTTTTTCTAAAGTAACCTGCACTACCGATTGATATTGATATTAATGTGAATCTCATAGATAATTTATTGCCATAATTTTCTTAATTGCCGTTTGAAGCGCTATTGTATGGGAAATTCATTTATCTATAAAAATAATATATATGCAACCGGAAAATAATACTTGACAAATGGATTTAGGCCACTTACAAAATAAGCGGACCATTTATATGTAATAGTAACCGAATCTAAAGGTATATAGAATAGTAAACACAATCGAATAATAGATAAAAACCAATATTAAATGAAAATCCTAATATAGAATAAACAATATTATATACAATCCAATAATATATTCAATATTGAGAGAATACCGATAAGAAAATAACTTTTAGAAAACATTTCTTTTCTCATTAAATTTACTGGTTTAATTAATATTGTCGTTCCAAAAAAGTGCTGTTTTATATAATATCAAAAATAACGAATACGTTATAAATAGTCAAATAAATTGGTACACCCTGTATATCTCTAAACATAATTTCATTCTTTAATTATTCTAACTCGAGCAGGGTAAGGAGTAAAATAACACGATAGAGCGTGGAAATCGGCTAACAGGTCATTCCCATTTTGAAAATAACATATATTAGAGACGTTGTGCATGCATAAATGTTAGTGTCTATAAATCCGCATGCGTAGATATATATATATATATGTGTGTGAGGCAACCCACAGCGATGTACCTGTGGCTCCTGAGGCGACTACCTGCGGGTAATTTACAGCGAGCTCGAGCGGATAACTTCCATCGTTATTTTCATCCCGCTTAAGGTTTTCCACTCTTCTTTTAAGTTCTCAGTCTTTCTTTCTTAAACGTTTTCTCTTCGTCTTTCTCGCACCGGCAAAGATCATGGAAAAAGTAATAACCTCGTGCTATTGTGCGTGGGCGATCTGAAACTACGTTTCATTGGTTATCTCTTCTATTTTAGTTTGCTAAGAAATTGCACTTTATCGTTTGCTTCCGAAAAAATTGATTGCTTAATAGCTAAACCCTTAGACGTCTACATAAAAATAATAGCAATCTATTACAAAACTAATAACCATCATTTGTAATTTCAGATTTATTTAATCACACGAGATGGAAAACAATAATAAAAAAGAAAACAACCTAATCAACAACAAGACCAATTCAAAAGCTCAAGATGATATTGAATATGATGATGTAAATACTCATGAGAATACTCTCAATACATTATAATAATACTCGTTCATCCCCCTTTTATTGATTATTTCGTTGTAGATTGACCAAATACCAATTACAACGACCAGTACAAAAAATGCTTTAATAACAACCATGCTTGGTCCATGTGAAGTGTATCCCCATCGCGTAAAAGTATCTATCGTTGGGGTTGGAAAGATTGGAATGGCATGTGCAATCGCAATTCTCATGAGGGTTGGTATACCCTATAATATTGAACGCCCTACTTGTGAACACTCACTCGATACCAACGTTTTACCACATTTGGTTTGCAGAGAATTGCGAGCGAGGTCTGTTTATTCGACAAAGATGAGAACAGGGCTATGGCTGAGGCTGAAGATATTCGTCATGCTGGGATTTTTCTAGGAAACCCTCTAGTGACCGGTACTTCAGGTAGGATTTCTTTGATTATCATGACAATTAAGGCACCTTTTCTAATTTTGAAACTAATAAATTCATAAAAAGTGTAATTTCCTTTTATTCTTAAGAAAAAGAAAAAGAAAATAATACAGTAAACTTCTACGAATGCATAAATTGACTTATTATGAGTCACCAAAAATTTCTCACGTAGTATGACAGATTAAATCATACATCAAAATACGAATTCCCAAAAGTGAATATTTCCTAAATGACTCAGAGTCAGCCAAAGTCTCAGAGCCATCTAACATTAGTCACAAATCTAAATTCACTAAAATCTACAAAGAAGAAAAACTGATCAAAGAAAAATTGACTATGTTTATCACGGCTCGGTGATCATCATCATCATCATCATCATACGGAAGATTTACATATATAAAACTTACAATGTATAGAACGTTCTATCTGATCCAGAAGACAGAAGAACAAATTCCCGAAATTTTAGATTGATATGTCCCGACTGATGAGGCCCGGCGTGCGTCGCGATCATCGTCTCTGATCGGATGCCCATTTTAAAAGATGACCCGTCGCATTGGCTTCTACTCGTCATGGGGACCCCTGTCAACGTGCACTGGCTCAGAAACGATGCTCGTTGAACAGGGGAAAGGGCTATGGGGAATGGTATAGGAAAGGGGAGGGGGATGAATTTTGGGTTGTGGAAGCGAGTTTCAAGATCCGGATCCTCTCTCTCTCTCCCTCTCTCTCTCTCTGTGCCTGTCCCTTTAATCTCAGTTCTCATCTACATTGCCGCTTGCTTACACGCGGCACAAACCCCCTGACGACGGCAAAGCGTTACACTCGAGCTTTCCACGGACAAGCTCGTAAATTTCATACTACTCTTATTTATCTACCTCAGGATCGACATCACGATATGTTTTTAGGATTTCTCTTTATGGGATTCTTCTTTCCTTGTCTTTCTTTCTTTCTTTCTCTACTGTCTTCTCTTATAAGTTCTGTTTTTTTTTCTTTTCTTTTTTATTTCATTTTATTTTTGGTAGTTCGTGTGTATTATATGCGGTTGAAAAACAGGACGGTCACGTTTTATTGTGACTCTTTTTTCATTTTTTTTTTTTTGAATTTTAGCATCTCCTCGTGTAACCATGATTTGTTGGTTTCTGTTGGAATTTATAATAAAATCTAACATTATACTGTATATATAAATTTTAAAAAGGAAATATAACATATATAATAAAAACTTAAAATTTTTTTATTCTCTAAAAAGAACGAATTTGAATAAAAAAAAGAAAAAAACAATGTAAACCTAAAACATGGATACTTCAACGAATTTTGTTAGTTCTGAGAAAAAAAAAAAGAAGCTTATCCGAGTAGAGTAGTTTGTCGACACGCTGAGATCTTGTTTTTACGTAACAATTACCGCAAAGAAATGTAACAAGGCGACCTTTTTTTTTACGTCCTCACTGTATTTTATCTGTAACAACATCGGTCTCAAAAAAAAATTTCTTTTCAGGAAGGAGATACAAACTACCGTTATTCAAAGTAACTTTGTCATCTTTATGAATGTGCTGTTAACACGTATGTGTAGTTTTCTTCTCGAACATTCTCGTGTTGGAATTGTCTACTTGGCACGTCTTTATCGATGGATCTTGTCGAGAAAGAATTTTGAAAAGCAAAGATTTTCTGATCTTTTCAAGCATATTGTATTCTGCCTCTTTTCCAAGAGACCAATGATCGTGCGATTGAATAAGACGTTTTAAAAAGAAACATTTCTACGAAAGATTATTAGATTTTAACTATTCGTTCTCATTTTAATTTACATTGCAATGAATAACCAGCAATGTGATTCATCATTTTTACGATTAGTGAATTTTAAAAATGAAGCCATTCGTCTGATTTGACAGATAGACATTTGTAATAAAAATTATTGAAAATTCTGACAGAGACACATTCCGTTTGATGAAAAGGGTACTCATTTTGAAATAATCACATATAAGTAAATAAATATTTAATACATATAGAATTACTAGGGGTGCTCCGCCACGCGTTGCTGTGGCTCACAATCAGTCCGATACACACGTCTTTAAGTTAACGAATTACCTTATACCGCCATCTATTATAAATGAAGATATAAACTATCCTATCTTTGAAGTTGGATGAAACTGCACACAGGTGTAAAATTTTATTAAAATTGTTTCAGTAGTCCATTGCGCACAAACAACGTGACACGTCATTTATATATATTAAGATTGTCAGCACCAACAAAAACATACACACACATATAATATATACATTTAAAAATTCGATACGTTTTTTACAGACGTAAGCATGTTACAAAAATCTGCTGTGGTGATTATAACAACTCCAGAAAAACGTTCAAACGAAGAGCCAAACGTTAAAGATAACTTGGAGATTTTTAAAAAGATCATACCACCAATAACAAAATTCGTTTGCAGTGGAGTTTTATTGATAGTGACAGAACCAGTTGATGTTATGTCTTACATTGCCTTTAAACTTTCCAAATTTCCCCCAAATCGTGTACTTGGTATTGGAACTCTTCTTGACAGTGCCAGATTTCAAGATATTATGAGCCAAAAAATTGGAATTGCACGGTCTTCTATTAACTGCATGAGTATTGGTGCACAAGGAAACACGTCTGGTATACAAATTTAAATCATAATTTTGTCATTTATTTCGAACTCTATTAACACTAGATTGCCCGATACTTTGTATATAAAATAGTAAAGAAAAACAATTATTATAGTGTACAAAATTAGTACACTGATCTATCTATTCAAAATTAAACATAACATTTTGTTATAGTTCCAGTTTGGTCAAGCATTAATGTAGCAGGTTTAAAATTACGAGATATAAATTCTCGAATGGGTGATAAAGATGATCCAGAAAAGTGGTACGAAGTTACAGAATCAGTTCATCAAAGGTATTCATTTTTCTTTCTTACACTAATTACATACTCAAACTATCTGCATAATTATTAGATTTATTGTATTTAATTAACTCCAAAAATATTACATTTATTTATTCACACTAAAAACAACATGATTACATTTACTAACCTATGGTGACTGTAAAAGTATTATTTCATGTGTACATTAAGTATACATTTAAAAAAAAAAAAGATCTTTTCAGTGATGCAGTATTAAATCAAATGAAAGGTGACAAGGGCCCAAATTGTTGGGCTACCGGCATTTGCACAGCAGAAATCGTTGATGCAATAATCAGAAATACAAAAGTCGTTTTACCAGTGTCTACACATATATGTGTAAGAAATACGTTAATATTATATATTAACAAATTCTACTAACAATACACCCATTTTAAGCAAATAACTATTTAAAAAAATATAAACATTTACAGAGTAGTAACCAAGGTATAGACAATGATGTTTACATGTCAATACCCTGTGTGATTGGCCGAGAAGGTGTTCATTGTACAGTACGACAAAAATTAACTGATCAAGAGAAATTAGAAGTTCAAGCATGTGCTGATAGTATTAGAAACACATTACGTGAATCTGGTATTCTACAGGAAGTTAGTGAAGACGTTGAGAAGTAGAATAGATAAAGGAAAACTTCTGCAAAACCATGAATCACCGGAAACTGTTGAACTCGCGAAACGATCAAGCTGTGATATAAATGTTAGAAAAAGAAAAAACAAGAAAAAAAAAATAGAAAGTAACGTTAGAGAAGTTGGTAACCGGTTTTCTTACGTTCGTATATTTGATTGGTAGACTAAATGATAGTAGTCAAACTCTTTAATAAACTATAATACCAAAGGTGTTAAATTATCTAAAGAAAGTCACACTTATCAAGAGTTTCTGCTTCATATTTACGAGATAAGACAAATTTCTTTCGTAGTTAGTTCGGATGTTGTTAGAGTGACCTGCATGCAGATGGAAGTTTTGCATTTTTTCTTTTTTTTATAGAAACTTCAATGTTTCGTATTATACATATTGCACGTGCAACTGTATATGCATAGAGAAAAAAAAACTTCTCCCCCGCAAAAAGTAGCATCGATCGGTTATAAGAAATAGTGCGTGCCATCGGCAGCTGCAATATCGCACAGGTGGGACGCGCTCGCTGTTTTCGAAAACATTATGGAAATTTAATTTCCAATATGTCTGGTTATTTTTCAAATATCTTATGTTTTAAATTAAATTCTTCTTGTTGTTTTTAGATAATGATGGAAACACCTAAGGTTGTCACGAAATACAATAAAAACTATTTTGAAAAATGTAACATTACTTTATTTAATAATTAGTTAAGTCAACAAACTTTAAAATTAGTATTAAAAATTAAAAAGTCTAATAATTCTCTAACGATTGTCAAAATGTTATTTTAAATATTCATTTGAATATAAATTTTAAATATAAATTTTAAGATTATGTATCAAATCATTTAGACAGTAGAATATAAACGTATACACAGACTAAAATCGGTTTTAGAATATCTTAAATAGTTTAGAAGATAATCATCTGTTACAGTTTCCATTCAACAGTGATCGTAAATCCAAACAAAAAAAAAAAACAAAAAAATAGTTTTCTAATCTTAAGATAAGTAACTCAGATAATTTTACGACGACAAACTCGGGTCTAATTTCAAGTCGTAAATACATGAGATACGAGTATAACGATATCTCGAACGAAAGTTTTTCAAGTTTGTCATTGTTTTAACCTTTTAGTATCTTGTAACGTTAGATAGTATTAAATTAATAATAATATTAAAAATTACAAGTCTCTAATCATGATTTAGATTTTATTTAGATTTCTTTAAAATGTCAAAATATCGATAAAACGAGACTAACAGTGAAAAAATTAACCTAACTTTTAACAAAAATGGCTGAAGGAAAACGAAAATACGATACCAAAAATACAGCATCGTTCTTGTTAACTAAACATGCAGAATATTTTCCAGACGATCATAGGGTGAAGATCGTTATTGTTGGTAGCGGTCATACTGGAGTTGCTACGGCAATTGCTATTCTATTTAAGGTACTTTACTTAAAATATCATTTTTATTTGAAAGACATTTCATTTAAGACCATTTTTTTGTTCCCATAAATTATATTTTTCGAAATGTAAACTCTTAATACTCGTATAAAATTACAATTTAAATCTTATTGCTTATATTAATATTTTTTGAAAAAAAAACAACAACAACAACAATATTTATAAACACTAATTTAACCTAAATTCATATTACATTAAAATATAATTTATTTTATTAATATAAAATATTTTGTTTGTTATGTTTTAATAAGAACTAATTTGAGATGAAAATAATTGATTGATAACATTATCCTTGATTAAGTCAATTCGATACTTGCTCAAAATTTATCTTAAATGAACACCATGAAATATAGACATGTACTTATGAATCACCCAGTATACGTGTATACACTTGTGTATATACATGTATTACGTTTATGGGGAATGGGATCCTGAATGTAGGCTCGTTAGTGTGCTGGATCAAAAAGGCTATTATGCAAATGACCAACGAAAGACCAGAAGAGGAAATTTGGCTACGTGAGGAAGAAGAAGAAGAAGAAGAAGAAGAAGAAGAAGCAAGAATGAGAGAAAAAGGGTGAAGGAAAGAGAGAAAGAAAAAGAAAAGGAACGTGCTTCCTTTCGCTCGTTATCGGATCGTAACGCGAGCATTTACACGTCGACCAAGCGCCCCCGCAGGATACCCAAAGGAACACTGATTTATGTTAGTCACCTACGAAGGAAGCTGAAATCCATACCTGTCCGCGAGGACATAGTTGACCACCTCTTATCGTCCTTTCTCATCCAAAAACTTAACCGATTTCCCTTCCATTTGCATTTTCCTGAACAAATCATTTTCTCTCTCTCTCTCTCTCTCTCTCTCTCTCTTTCTCTTGTCAAGAGATTTCATATAAACGATAATCTAAATGTCTTATTATTACGAATATACCGAAAATACGGTCCTTATAAAATTAATTATTTATAATAATAGTAATGAATAATAATATTCAAGACCTTTTATCAATGATTTTTTATAAAATTATTCATAAGCTAATTATTATATTAATATAATAATAGTAGCAAATTATATTTTAATCAAATGTAGTATTATTACTGAAAAAATTAGTATTACTGCAGTATAAGTATATACTGAATAGTATTACTGAAACTGTCAAGAGATACCATTCTAAAATTTTTAGTTAAAATTATTATCATTAGTTCTATCGTTGTTCTCTAACAAATTGTTGACTATTGAAAAAATTAAAAAAAAAATTAATCTTTAAATAACTATCATCAAAATGCTACTATACTTATGATAGGTATACACAAAATCGTGGTAGAAATAATGTTAAATAAATAAAAAAAGAAAAAATATAAAAATAATAATGAAATAATTGTAATGAAATCCTTGAAAACAAAACAAAAATGTATATTTGAAAGTAAATGACTCTCTCAAGACTTGGAATGCTCATTGGCATTATAGCGGAAGTCATGCTTGATGAAGTATGGTGATTAACAGGCATGGGGAATAACAGATTGGAAATACAGGAGGTGTGATGCGATAAATTAAGAATCCGGTTTTGTAGTTCGCCGCACAGTTATGTCTTAACGCGTGAAAGCGCCAGATGTCAGAGAAAAATGTGTCCATCTGTTCTTAAGGGACGAAGGGTGGAAGGACGAAAAGGTCAGGAAACACTAGAAGCTTTTTCAAATCGATTCGATGAAGGAAAATTTGTTCTAATGTTAAGTTACAAGAAAATAGGGGCTATTGCTTTTTTATGATGTCATTTACACGGTTGACGATGAGGATGAATTGTTAAAACGAAAACCATGTTTTTCTTTTTCTTTTTTTTGGATGGAAAGGAGGAAGAGGATTTCTTATAACTCCCCATTGAATGTTTTTATAGTTTGAAACATAGAAAGGACTATCATTTACTTTTAAACATCTTTTTTTTCTTTGCGTTTTACATTTATATTGGATTGGTCAATAAGTTGAATGTTGAAAGTTTTGTTAATTTACAATTAAATGAATCAACTTAATTTAATATGAATTATAATTAAGAAGAGAGAAGAGAAATATAATTAAGAATATAATTAAGAAGCAGTCAAAACATTTTCATATAAAAATTCCAATGAACAGTATATAAACTCAAAATAAACATTACAAAAATTAAATAAACGTCGAAAAGTATTGTAAGTAATCCTAAATAATGAAAATAAAAGAAAAAAGATTAAAATGAAGGAGAGAGAGAGAGAAAAAAAGAAATAGTATAATTATTCAAAAGAATGAATGATTACACGTAAGACAAAGCGTCGACGAGCAAACAGACAAAGTTTTATATTACAAAAAGGCATAGCTGAAGAAAAAAAAAAAGTAAAAAATAAAAAATGATCATGCTCTAACGATCGTACGCATTAAGGGATCGCCTGCTGTCCTGAGTGACGATCGATAGCTCGCACGTGGAAGCCTAATGCGATTCCCGTGAGGGCTTGATGCGCTCGATTGCGTAACGATTCACCCTACGTACTTTATAACAAGGTTGCTCATTCGCCATTACCACTAATAACTATCAACATCCGCGTAGAGAATACAAGGATGGTATTAATTACTATCACCTGTCTCCACTTATTTTCACCTAATTCCTTTTAAGTATCTTTCTACTTCTATTTCTATTTTTCGATTTGTTGTAGCGTCTAGCCTCAGAACTGGTCTTCATAGATACAAATGATGATCTTGCTAAAGCGGAAGCTGAAGACATTGGACACGCTGCTGCTTTCCTAGGCAACCCGAAGATCATTGGAACTAAAGGTACCTTTAAAAAGGTTGTTTTCAAATAATCGAATCATTTATTATACTTTCATTATATTATATTATTAGATGATTGATCAATAAATTATCTATGAATTATTATATTAGAACGTTTCTAAACTTTATTTGCTTTTTCTTAGTAGATTTTATAAATCTTCTTAATATATATATAAATTACGTGTCACGTTATTTGTCCGCAATGGACTCCTAAACTACTGAATCGATTTTAATCAAATTTTGCACATTATATCTCAATTTATAATCGCAATATTATTTTATAAGTACCTGTTAATTTTTATTATTACCATTTGACCTAAAATTATCCAATGAAATATCTACAAAGATTATTTGAATTTTTGTTGTTAACTCTCTATTTTTCTCTTAAGCCAATGATAAAGAAGTTATAATTATCCTAGACAATAAGACGTTTCCTTGTCGCCGAAATAATAAATTTGTTATATTTCTCAACAGTTTAATCTTCTCTTAATCGTCAATCCAATTATATTCTTTTTTTTCCAATTCACACACACACACACACATACACACATGAACCTTAACGTTCCCTTTTGTTAGATTACGCCTTGGCAAGAGATGCCGCGGTATGCGTGATCACATTGGGAGATAAATCTCAAGCGAATCAAGATCCCACAGAACTCCTCCAGCAAAATTTAACTACCTTCAAAGTCGTCGTACCTAATGTAACTAAATATGCACCTAACAGTGTCTTAGTGATTGTTACCAATCCAGGTTGGTACACAATTCTTTAAAAACTGAAGCTTTTAGATCAAACATAAGCAACCCCTATGATAATGGCCTTGTTATATATTTATTTTCTAGTTGACATATTGTCGAACGTGGCTATGAAACTCTCAGGTTTCCCACCAAATCGAGTTATTGGCCTTGGAACGTTTTTAGACAGCTGTAGATTTCAATATTTCATAGCAGACAAATTGGGACTAGCTGCTAATTCGGTTCAAGCTTCTATCATCGGAGAAAATGGATCGTCATCCGGTAATAAGTAATGGAACGTTTTGTTTCTTCGTTCACATTATAGTTCCCAAGTAAGACGTTAGAAATATATTTCATCGATTTATCATACACCATCTTACTTCTGTTCAACCAGTACCAATTTGGTCCGCTGTCGGTGTAATGGGCATGAAACTGAAGGACATCAACAAAGAGATTGGTACGAAGACGGATCCTGAAGCTTGGGGAGAATTGCATGCTAAAGTTATAGACGCTGATAGCGACATCATCACTGGTAAAGGTTATTACAACTGGGGAGTTGGAATCTGCGTTAGTGAGATAGTTGATGCTATTGTGAGAAACACGGGTATCTGTGTGACAGTGTCGACGTATCTTAAGGTTAATTATCATTATATTAAGTTTAATTACAGTACTATTTTTTAATGGGATGCATGACATTAAGTGTTTGATTAATTGCACTTTAGCTACATATCTTCTTAATATATATAAATGACGTGTCATGTTGTTTGTGCGCAATGGACTCCTAAACTACTGAACCGATTTTAATCAAATTTTTCACACTGTGTGCAGTTTCATCCAACTTGCAAAGATAGGATTTATAATCGCAATATTATTTTATTAATCGCGAATTATGGTTGTTATGTAGTGATGTTTAATCTGATTATTACAAAAATTGATTTTAAATATAACAAATTAAATATTGCTCTAACATTTTAATAATAGAATATTTTCAAATAATTCTAAAAGTCGAGTTTTAATCTTTTTGAAATTTCAACGTCTCAGTTACTAAAATTATTGAATTTATATTATCATTTACGAAAAAATTACAATTTTAGGGTTGTCGACATGGTTTAGACAAGGACGTTTACATGTCATTGCCTTGTATAATTGGTCGAAATGGTGTACAGTCTCTCGTAAGATATCTCTATACAAAAGAAGAACAGGAAATGATGGAAAACTCCTGTCGTCGAATCTACGAAATGCAGAAATCAACTTTGGAAAATCTTTTCTAAATCTTAATATTCACATAATATTTTATTTGAGAAATTATTGGTTATAGTATATAATTTATGTATATATCGAACAATAATATTACAAAATAGAAGTTTAATAGAAAATTTACTTAATTGAAAGTAATGAATAAAAAATAAAAAATAAAAAACAAGTACTCAAGATTACTAAGGATATCAAAAACAAGAGCCAATTAATAAAGATTAATAACAAAGATTGATAATTAATAGGACCCGTTATGGTTAAGCTCGTTGAAGGAAAGATCGAGTCGTCGAATGATAAAACGATCGTCATTAAATGTACAAAGACGGTTGGTTTAGTGCTGTTAGCAAGGTAGGATAGGGCAATTCGTTAGCAATACACTTGTTCATATAGATATCTATCTTTCGTCTCACAACAGTCAACCAACGAAACACCATTCGAAGAAGGGCGTGTTAGACTCAATCCAATCGATATCTCGAGAGGACGACTCACCGATTGCTTATTTAATAAAGTGCTTTCGATATACAATATACAAAGATCCCATATATGTGGTCGTGGTGAATCGTCCGTTAACTAAGAGAAAGGAAAGAGAGAGAACTCAATTAGTTCTCGCGCATTTCAAAGTCAAATCAGCTTTGCTTATGCAAATGTAATTGCTTTATTGGTCTACCTTCTGATTCGAACGTATACGAACGTATAGTATAGGGTCTATACTTCTACTTATATATACAAGCTCTTTCAAAACTAAACTAACCGATTGTTAACAGTAAGCAAGTCAATATATAAGAATAATTTGTTGTCTTATTAATGTTTACAACTTTACATACTCATATGAAACTCATTTTTTGGTCTAGTGTAATTGACAGATAAAGTTTAAGAGAAATAATTAGACCGAATTATGTATAAACAAAATAAATTCAACAAAGGATTCCCTCTTCTTTTCGATCATGTCATTGTCTTTATACATATATATTTATGCAACGAATAAGACATGCTTACGACCAATGAAATACGTTCCTTTCTACTGTAAAGCCTATTTTGGAAAGAAACTCCAGTTCTCTTTCCATAAGGTTCGTAAACGATCCCGAATATCTCGTAGTAAATTATTAATAATTTATGTTATTAAATCTTAGAAATATTATTTTTGTAAAACCTAGAAATTATTTGAAACAAGTAAATTAATAAAATAAATTAAAAAATAACTCACAAAATTCACATAAAAGCAAAGATTTCTAACTTATCGACTGAAGAAACGCAATAAGAGAAGTATTAATATTAGCAAAGAATACAAAATTATATATAGAAGCTTTCAAGGCCAGTTTTCATGTAAAAAAAAAAATCATCTTAGTTAGGGACTAGGGATCCTGGGACCACCAGTGGACGAAAGTATGTAGAATACTATATTCTTTGACAGTATTGTACCGTTCTTTGATAATATTGTACCGTCATCCCGTAAAGGACCTACTATAACCCACTGGTGGTCATGGTGTTCTACCTATGATAATTTTTTTATACAAAATCTGATCTTGCGGGCTTCTATAGACTTTTGTATTCTTTGATATTCGCGCCACCTGCTATTTTTTTCTCTCCTGTTAATTTGAATGGCTGTTGAGAAGTGCACTTGGCTTTCTTTTGTTTCGATGCTAATAGAAATAAAAGCATTGACTTGATTTAACTTGACTTTTAGGTGTTAGACTCTTAATTAATATTCTTTTTATTATTTTTAACAGTATTTGTAACTCCTACATTTACCTGAACGATTTTATTTGATGGAGGAGAAGAAATATCAGGATAGAAGGAAGATAATATCTTCACGAAAAACTATCGATTGTTCTTGTCCTAATAGCACCAAATTTGGCCGAAAAAAATGTCGAGAAATAGACGTGGATTACGTTGTAAATAAATTGCATGAACTTATATCCGATCCGGTAACTCAAAATGATGTATCACGAATCTCTAGACTGTTGTACGATTATCAGGAATATCTCAGCGATCGGGCTTACGTATCCTTCCAGATGAATTTTAAAAATTAATAATTAATTACCTTCTTTAATTATCTTTTCCTATTATTTTAATTAGATGGTAAAACATTTACCAAAGGTAATCAAAGTATTAGAATTCTTAGCAACAAATGCAAAAAGCGTTGAAGATTATCATTCGCATCTCGATCGAATGCTTGAGTTATCTAATCGTCCACCTCTTTTGGAAACATCCTATCAGAGTCTCGTTTGTTTAGACATAATGGAACAATATTTTACATTATTTGGCTATCTATTAACAATCTTACCTAGCGAACAAGAGYTCCTTAAAGTGCACGAAGCCCTTCGTTCTTTATTAATCAGGACTGTGCCGGCTGATTCTTYCGTAGTCAAGGCTGAACTTTGTCGTGCTGCCATGGAAAGATCGAATCTGTCCATTAGGGTAACCGAAATATTAAATACTTCCTCGCCGGAAGCATATTCTAATATCTTGGAGAGAGAGAGAGAGTTGGTCTTCTTATTATCCTCCATATCCTGTGTTTCTTGTAAGTAAATCTTCGGTGTTTCATCTTCATTATTTTCCTACACAAAAAGTAAGGTTTCAATATGTGAAGACTTCATTTATTTTTAATATACGTAAAAAAACTACGAACTTACTTTTTACGAACTTAGGTCACAAAATGTTAGAAGCAGGTATACTAAATCCCCTGCTAATTAGAATGGACCTTTCTTACTCGACCGAAGTGTTTTGTAAATTACCACCAGACGAGCCTTTCGAAGGAGACGAGTACTCAGACGATACAATGTCTTTGATAATGAATATCTTATGGAACCTGACGAGATCTATTTTACCTCCCAAAGAAGCACCAGCTGGTCTCAAGGACCTTGGTCCTCCAACACAATGCGCTATGTGGTATCATCCCCTTTCTTTCTTTATCCTTTATACATACAATAACGCGATAAAATCACAAGTAAAATCTCTATCTTGATTTTAGGAGTCTTTGTTATGCATTTAAACAACAAGTTGACAAAAGTCAGAATTGTAAATTGAATGCACAACTTCGAAACGAAATGGCGTTGCTTATTCTTCTCATACTTCAAATTTTTCCACGTTATATCATCATTAGCAGTGGTATTGCAAGCAATGTCCTATCATTTTTCAATGGTTGTCTTTCTGGTACAATTCATGTCTGGTCAAAGGATATCAAATTTGTTGCTAGCAAAGAGAATCTCGTTTTTTTCAAAATACTTTTACTGATAGTCTCCGATTTAACTGAGATCAATGCGTCTATCCCTGTAAATAATTTTATTTATTACAATCGTAAAAATTACGCGAAGAAAATATTGGAAATAAATTGATTTCTTTAGATCATGATCGAGCAAAATATTTTACCATTAATACTTCGTTTCATTGATTTAAACTCAAAATCTATTTGGAGTCCATCTCAATTCTGGCATCTTTTTGAACACGCGATATCAACTTTGACTCTATTGGCATCTAAAATGTCGGATGAATTTGTTAACAATGATGGAACTCAAAAGTAATTTAATTCAACATTATAATTTAAAATTTTTACTAATTAATTTCAAGTTATATTTCAGATTGATCTCAATTTTGAAATGGTGCGCTAACTCGACTGAATTTGAACCGAAATTGACGATGAATTGTACCAAAGCAATATGTTCCATGGTTCTTTCCAAGAACCCTGTAATATTAAAAGATTTTCGTGAAAAAGAAATGATTCTAACACTGCTCGGTGAGTCAACATTTTCAATAATATTCCAAATAAAGTAATGGCAACTGTAAAAAATATTCTAACACTTTTCCTAGATCTAATCGATCGTATTTTACACATGAATACATTAACAATGGAACATCAAAGGATTATGACAATCATTCTTATCGCTGTAGACGAACTAATTCGAAATGTATCAGACCTTCGACTTTTATATGGAAACCAAAATATAAGAATCATAAGAAAATTGTTAGATAAATGTATCTATTATCGAAAAGACGATGATTTCAACATAGACCAACGGTAGGTTTAACAAAATTTAATCAAATAAATATTACGAATAAAAATAAGATAAAAATAATGAATGATAGTCTACTACTAGCAATTGGTTCTTATATTTGGGGCTCCATAGTACCATGTCCAATTCATGTGGAAAATTTTGTCGATAAGGGAACAGTTTACACCATAATCGATGTGATCGAAGTTACTTCATATCCTGTGAGATGTTTGTATCTTGGTCTGCTATCAGATATTTGTGAAAATATATTTTGTGGTTATTATTTATGCACTTGGCGTGGTATTGACAAAAATAAAGGATTCATGTCTTTGTTAACTAAGATTTGGAGAGAAGAAGAGAAAGAAATTGGTGTGAAAATACAACCAGATGGCACAGTTGAAGGTGTCATTTCAATGATCGATCGATCATTAACAAACTAATACATTTTTATTTATAATTATTCATTTATGTAGATCTTGAGTTACCTCAGATGGGTGTTAAACAATGGTTCGACACTTATCACAGTAACCTTACGTACAATGTTAGTCCTGCATTGATCGACATGATTGGTTCGGTTAGATCTAAGATTTATGCTATTTGTCAGATTATCGAAAGGTATGGGGAAAAATACGAGATAGCTAGAAACCATTACAAGATCTTAAACGATGCTTTACCTATCGAAGATCAGGTAAAATAGTATAAAATGATGTTTTCTATCGAAAGTTCGTAATTATAATGATTTTTATATTAGATCACAATGTCTAGCATTAATCTTTACTTTCGATTAAAAATTGGAGAAACTTGGGTCGAGATTAGCAAGTATTTAGCTCAACTTGGTGTAACACCATTAGGAATGGATGGTCAAATTATGTCTCTAATGACTCAACGATATCATGCCTGGGGTCTTTTTATTCAGGAACGTCAAAGGAAACTTAAAACTAATGCTAAGAATATCGAAGAAACCGAAGAGAAGGAAGAGTATGCTAAAATTCGTGATTCCATGCTTGCACCAACATTCGATGCTCTCGATGAGATCGAATATATTCGAAGAACAACGGATAGATCTTATATGCTACAAAAGAAGGATTTACAAATTCAAATGGTGAACAAGTATCTTAACTTTCCTTGGAATACGAATATCGAACAGTGTCATAGAACATTTCAAGATAATATTAATGTTACGGTACGCGCGCATTTCAATTTTAAATTAATTAAAAATTGTACGTGGCTTTCACGTACGGGAAAAAATGAAACTTGTTATGTACAGTGGGTGTCTCCCTTAAGAGCTTACGCTGTAAAAAATAATTAATAATTATTTGTAAATAGATGTCTTACATGTCTTCTTCTTTTTGCAGACAGTTTTTGACCAGCATCTCCATTTTACTGGAAAACTTACAGCTGACAGCAATTCTGATCTTTCCCTAGATACACCTGTTTCTTCCACAAGTTCTTTTTTGTGCATTGATTCTTCTATGTACGATGATTCCTTTCCACAAGATTTGTCCTGCGAAAGAGATCACTCCTTTAAAAATTCGAACGAGGTATAAAAGAGAATATTGTTCGAAGCGCACTCTTTGTTAATTGATCAAGAAAATTCCTTTCTTACCATCAGTAAGAAATACTACTTTATCGACATTATGAAATTCTTCTTTATCATTAGTGTCTTACCATCAGTAGGAAATACTACTACTTTATCGACATCATGAAATTCTTCCTTATCATTAATGTTTTACCATCAGTATTTCATACATTATTAATGTCCCTCTGTATTTATATAATTCAAAATGAATTAGAGATAATATTTATTTTTCTATAAATACAAAAGTTCTTTAAATACATCAAGGTAATTAATGAAAAAGAATTTTCTTGTATGATTTTATTTATTTACATTATTTTATCGATCGAATTTGAGTTTTATCGACACCCACAAGAAGTTACCCCAGGTAGGTAGACTTCTTTAAAGATAAAAAGGATATCAAATGGAAGGGGAAAGAGATAAAGAGAAAAGAAAGAGCAGCAAGAAAAAGGTTGATGAGAAGAGAAGTGGAGTGAAGAGGGAAAAAGAGAGGGCTAGCTCACCAAGAGTTGTAGCTTCGTACGACCGGCAGTGAGAGCCGACATGCCGTTCCCGCCGCAGGCACTCGTTATCGTTGTTCGTCTGGTACCGGTTTGAGAGCTTCGAGACAAAGTTCCTTCGAGTTCCTTCTTCCCCTTTCAGCATCTCTCCTTAAGCATTTGTGCCTTCTTTCGCATACAAGTGCTCTGTTGTACCGTGCGCGCCCTCGCTTCCAACAAGTAATCTTTACTAAAGAGAAAAGGATATCATAAGGATATCATTGTAATAGCGTTAAAACTTGGAATAATATAAGGATTATATTGTCAGTACCAAGAGGATAAAAAAAAAAAAGGAAGCAAGAGAAAGAGAGCTACGTTTCCTGAAATTAAAAAACAAGTTGGAGAGGAGACTTGTTCCTTATCCTTTTAACAATTTAAAAAGATTACAAGAACTTCCTTCTTTCTCTCACACTCGTTCTGCTTTTTCTTTTTTTTTTTCACCTCTCCCACTTGCAACTCCTCCTGTAGCATCCGCCTGCCTCTCTCTTCCTCTCTTTCTCAGTATCCCCCTTGTTCCCACCTTTCCCCTAAACGTTCCTCGTCGAAGGCGCGAGGTAGACGGCACCGTGCGCTACGTAAACCGCGCACAGGGGATTTCTAAATTCCTTGGGCGCGGGAGAGTTTTAGCGAGGTTGTAAATATGGCGTGTGAACGGTGGTGCTCAGAACGTGGCGACTATGAGGCGACCGGTTCTTCTTCTCCTTCACAATGGCCTTACGTACTACTACTCCTGGTCGTTCTGCTTTGCTGTAGCTCGTCATCCCTGGCGATTGGTCAGTCTGGTGAGTAAGCCCATCTCTGCCCATCTTCTTATCCTTCTTCTATTCTTCTATCTGTAAAGAGAAGAAAAGGATAGGAAAGGATTTTCCTTTAGGACAGTAATGCGTTAAAGTCCTTCAAAAACTGAAATGAAAAAGTTTGGGGAGAAAAAAAGAGACAGAGAAAGAGAGAAGGACTGAGACGAAGAGAGAAAGGAGTGGGAGAGGAACGAGCAACGCAAAGAAGAAGGTTGTCCGCTACGAACAACCTCAAAGAAAGAGAAAGATAGAAATACAGTCGCGAGGTCGGGTAAGAAGGATAGCGAGTTTGCTGACGCGACGAAGACGAAGAGGAGAACGAAAAAGAAAGAAAAAAAGACAGAAGGAGAGAGAGAGAGAGAGATATATAGAGGGGGAAGGGAAAAGTTAGCCTGTTGAACGAGCAAGAAACGCCTCTTCCTACGCAGGCTACTACGCAATTCCATCGAGTCTCAACTCCTTCTCATTTCAAACACTATTTTAACCTCGAGATTACAGATTCACCTTTGTTTCTAGTCCTATTACGTTAACGCTTTTTCTAATCTTCTAAACATATACAAACCTTTTCTCACGGTGAGAATATTTCTTCGAGATTTTTGAATTTCGCGCCAGAATCCCCTAACGTCTTTCTCGTCCTTCGAATTCGTTTGCTCGGTATCTTGTTTTCTTACTTTTTTTCTTCATATTTCTTCAGTTTTCTCTCTGAAACATATATTTTCTTTAGTTGAACACTTATAGAATTTATTTATGGTATTTTAGTTGCTGAAAACCTTTTTTTTTAACAGTTATTTTATTAAATACACGGGATAACGTTCGTACCTTAAACCTTTGATGAGATTTTTTCTCGACTACCTCTGATTGGTCCAAATTTCAGGCCATTTATGAATTTTTATTGGTCGATCACGGTGACCATAGTCTCACGCTGATTGGCTATTACTTATAGATAATATTTGAAATATTTTCAAACTATTTTTTAAATGCATTTGAGGAAAATTTCTAGAATTTTTCTTAGGTCACGTTCCAAACTATTAAATGACTTATAAGATTAAAGGAAAGAGAAAAAAAGCGAGAGAAAATAAAGATTTGTGTGCAGGAATTACAATCTTGAGAATGTAAGCGGTTCGTTTAAGGAGATCATAAAATGAGATATGTGCATCGTCGTGCAGCACGACAAGCGTTTTACCCAAGGGTTCCACTAAACGCTTGATTATTTTGTCCCACGATATTTTCATACATTTTCCTCGATTAATTAAAATACATAATCGATCTAAAGCTTAATCGATATTCGTATACTAATCAATTTTGGTATGATGCCTAAGCTTCGTATTTTGATGATTTAGATTGTGTATTTCATTGCATACAAATATTTATTATAATATCAACTTCCTAACTACGCATAAATATCTTTCTATATCTCTCTATTTCTCTTATGTTTTTTTTTTGTTTTCCTCTCACTGTCCTTCTCAAACTACTTGTTTCACGAACGAGCGTATATAATTCCTTCGATACAGTCGTAAGTTGTATAAGTTACTTACGATGTTCGTGCTAACATAACGGGTGACTAATTTAGATTTAACAATCATTTAATCGTAGTATGCTGATGAAATCCTAATTCAAAATCACTCATCACTTCTATATTAAAAAAAAAAACAAACACAATTATTAATTTAAAAGCTGTTTTGACTACTCTCATTCAGGAAAGCAACCATTTTGAAAATAAACGAAATGGCGCAATATTCAAAATTCAAAAACGAGGCAATTCACATAGTCGCATATTTTTACTAACTGCTTAGAACTATAAAATCGATATAATAGAAACAATAAAACTTTTCCTTTGACAACTTATACTCAAGTTGATGTTAGAATACATTTTTACCTGACCGCATTTTATGTCGCTGCGAATCTATTCCCACTATACTTTGTCCTCATTTTTTTTATCGCTACCAATGGCTATACGTAGACATATATACTTTGTACATTACAAAGCTGACTAGAAATCATAGCCATCAACTTCTTCTTCTTCTTTTACTTCCAAATGCGTTACCTAAACACTAAATTATTCAAACTATAACTTACATCTCTCATACGTTACGCATGTGATATTTCCTTTTTCCTTGAAATCAATATTTTCTACAAACAAAATTTTTCATTTAAAAATCATCTAATAATAATTAAAAAAGAATAGAAAAGTTCTGTGAAACTTCTACGAGTCGTTTTATCTCTTTCCCCCCTTTCGATTCTGTGAACAATCTTGTTCACATATGGTGTAGGGATATAGACAAGGGTTCTTCTTAACAACAATCTTTGAAATGGTGAGAGAAGCGTCGAGTTCGAGTGCTTTTCCTGCCGTCAACGCGATCATTATGATTCAAGACTGTGAAAGAACTTACAAGTGAGCGATTGAAAGAGTTCAACGAGTGGCCACTCGTCCTACGTACTAAATGTTTTGCGTTTCTATTGCTTACTTATACACACGTCTCTGTATACACCTATATTTACATGCTACATTTGAATCTAGAATATTACTACGAATCTAAACTCAAAATTAAATTCGCACGATTTAAAGGAAAGTATATTATTTTAAACAAGAATTTCTGAAGTCATCAGGAAGTTTTAAGCTACCTCGTTGATTTTCTTAGAAGCTTTTTTTTTTATCATATTCTTTTAAATAATTACTCAGTTTTTTCCACTTCCTTTGAAAGAGAAAAGAAATAAAGAAATAAGAAAAAAAACTGAATGCGTTTAAATTCAGCGACATGTGTTTACCGTTTTATGTGCATACACACATTTGCATTGTACAAATACTTTACTTACAAATTATTACGTATTTTTTTTTTTCAGAAGAAAAAACAATTATTGGTATTATCGCAAAGATAAAAGTAACAATAAACGTTTTAAACATTTACATTTAACCTAATGTGATCTATAACGAACTAAATATAAATTACGTAAATAAAATAAAAGAAAAAATTCAAACGATTATATAATATATATATATATATATGTGTATTGTACATATTATTATAATTATTATCTATGAAAAGTTAACCCCTTCTTAGATAGAAACGTTCACCCGATATCCGCTTATCTCTATGTAAATCATAAATACAACAAACAATTTCAAACTTTACTCGCGTGTTGGCTTCTGCTTCGTGCGTAGAACGTCTACCGTTCTCTGTAATCTATAGCTATTGTATTACATACATATATGTATACTTTACACCTGTTACACATGCATACCGACTTATGTTTGTAAACTTCCCCATTTTGCTATATAAAATTAACAACTTACAATATTATTTATAACATAATTAAATGATCCTTGATTTTTTAAACAATTTTTATTAATCCATAATTTAATTCTAATCTGACAAATATATAATCTACTATACTTGCAGGAAAAAAAGATAAATTCTAAACTTTCTTAGAAAAGAAAGTTCGAAGTTTATTTGAGCTTCTGCTTCTAAAATAACAGACGTATATATGCGTATATGTATGCCATATGTAGAGCCATAGTATACGAGCAACATAAAACGAAAGAGACGAAAAAGACTAAAATAAAACGGGACTAGTCAGTATGGTAAACGTATGTGACAAAGACGAGCGAGACGAATTTCGAAGAGGAAAAGGGTGCAGCCAGAAAACAAACACGCACGTGGCACCCTTTATACGGTCATTAAGCTGATGCGAACAAAACGTTTCTCGAATGATTATATTCGATTGCTTGCTTGCTTGCTTCTTCTTCTTCTTCTTCTTCTTCCAAGTCTCGAAAGCTAATAAACAATGTTTCTAAATGAGCCACCACGGCTTCTTCCTAAAGGAACGTTGACTTTCTTTCTGTGACGACATCACTTGCTTCGTAAATAAAATCTTCTTATCTAAATACGTTTATCGAATATCTTCTAATGCGACCAGGTGTACGAAATTCCTTTTCTACGCGTGCGTTCTTCCACGTCTTGCAAGCAGAGCTCGTACATAATAACATTCGTATACATGACACGCTTCTTCGTAAATGAATGTTTAACTTCTCCCAATGACGATACTGTTTACTTTGATTTGTAAACGAAGCCTTTTTATCTGTAAACATACATCGAACATTTTTGAATATTTTATCAGTCGTATAAAATCTGCAAAAGAAGATATCATCATTATTTTTATTTTAAATTTATACGTTTTTTTCGAATATAGAATAAATACAATCAATTAATATCGTTGAATTTCTTTGAATAAGATCATCGATAAATAGATTTTCGACGAATTGGATGAGAGAACATATAAACTATACTCGAAGCGCGAAAATGCAACGAGTTCGATGAACTCGAGCTTCTCTCTCGGTACATGCTCGTAAGCACACGCGTGTAAAGCGTTGTAAAAATATACGTTGGACTTATCTATGTGCATATATACATAACTATATCTATATGCATACACAGGACATATGTATTTATATATATATATATATACACATAGATGCGCATGTTTAAAACGTACTCACACGTGCGTAGGTGTAACGGAGGAGGCCAGGCAAATGCTTAGAATGGTCTCCGCGTAGAGAGAGGGCTTCAAACCGGAAGCTTGTCGACCAATAATACAATCCCTTCCGTTTCTCCTTTTTTTACGATTAGTTGCATGTTTTTTTGTTGTTTTTTTTTTTTTCTTATTTATCTTCTATTCTATAATAATCATCATTATTAAAAATATTAACCATTTAAATTGATGTATATAATTTACAATAAAAATTGTAATATAACTAACTTATAATAATAAGATTGACCAGTGGATAAGATGATAATCACGATCACGATGATTTATGCTTCTTGAATAATTTAATCTGGATGATTCAAATATCTTATTACATTGATGATGTAATTATTAATCAAACTGTGCTTGCTTATAATTATCATATAGCGTTGTTTAAGATATCTGTCCGTACGATAGCTATTTAAATCTGCTTTTTTTTGATGCAGCATCTGAAAAATAAAAAAAATTAAATAAAAATATAAGAAAGAGAAATTATCTTTCGTTCACACGAGTAGGTCAATATCGTGGTTTTAAAACGAAGCAATGGGACTATAACGAATGATCGATCGAGTTTCCTTCAACGTGTTTGTTTGTAAGTGTTTTGTTAAGAAGAAAAGAACGTTCGGTTATCATCGTAGCTTTCTACGATAGAGAAATTGAACCGCGAAGATATAACCGAGGTTTATTATCTTTTCTCTTTTTTCCATCCATGAAATTGACACTTAACTTTTACGTTTTTAAATACCGAAGAGATAAAAAAAAAAAAAAAAACAGCAGAAAAGTAAATACAAAAGATGTAGCAACCATCTTTACAAACATTTAAATATTATAATGTATTACATACATTATAACGACCTCGCATTTATCTAAAATATTCTTCGAAATCGTATACGCATTACGCAAAAAAAAAACTTAATCGTTTTTGGTAAATTTAATAATAAATCGTACTTCGTTGAAATAACAAAATCAATTAAATGTTTAATTAATTACCCCGATATGAATATTCTAACACAACTTCGACATTAATTAGAGAATTTTATCTATACGTCATTGTTATTAAAATATGGTACTAATGTAAAAAAAAAAAAAAAGTTGTATCAAAAATGAAAAAGAAAATTCAACACAAGTGTCTTTATAACTGAATATTTTTTCCTCAAAACTATTCGAGAAAAGATAATAAAGCTAGATAATATTGAGTTACAGACTGCAGTGGTCTAGAATAACCAGTTTTTTTTTCTTTCTACTTCTTAGAATAAAATACATCGGATTAGAAAGAATAATAGAAAAACAAAGACGTATTCATAACGTAGTAGACAGTAGACATGAGAAGATTATCAACGCATTTGGATTAACCTTGCTTTATAAATCAACTGATTAATTATTACCTATCCGCGGTTAAATCTTTTTTGAAAATTATTCAAGTTATGCATTTCGCTCTTTTATTTTCTCTTATTCTCTCTCTCTCTCTCTCTCTCTCTTTGTTTTTTTTGTACCTACACGGTTTCGTGCTCGCGTCATTATACTGTTCACTGGCCTGAAAATCCTTGTGGCGTATCGACGAGCTCAGGACACCGTCACCGATCGTGCCTTTTGAAGAATACTTTCGAGACTAACCGATCCCCCTTTCTGTACGCTCAACCTATGTATGTCGGTGTGTTTTGTACATCGTTCACACGCGTTTAAACTAATTAATTATCTCCCTACCAACGTTATTTTCAAAGCCATAAGCAAATTCTAATTTTGGTAATTCCGTCGAATATTCCGTTCATATCAAATTATAAATTTTCAATTATGTACACAAGAATATCGAAATTATTTAGGTGTCACTTTGATAACTCTATTTACAAAGTATAAAAACGGAATCATACGTTATCAAACATTTATATCTCTCGTACAGACTTCTTCGTCGTTTAAACGATATTTTATATAGTATATATAATGTTATATATTTCATGAAAATAAGTAAAACAATAGTTATTTGTTTCTTTTTTTCTTCTCATTCTTTAGTGAGAAGTCGACCTTAGTACTGTAAATCAGAACGATTTCTCCAAGGATCATACAAAAGCGGTACCACGGAAGGGAAAGCGTACATAACGTTACTTCCCTTTGCCGTTAGTATTTCGACAGTATTCATTAAAGATTTTCATTGCTAAAGCAAAAGTTACAATACTTATTACAACATTATTTGATATCTTTAAAATCTAACTATTTAATATTACATATTTTTTCTATCAAAAAGATTTGACAAAGATTTCCTATCGAAATAGCGAATATGCTCGCGAAAGATAATCGAGCTTAGATTGAGAGAGGAAAAATGGTTATTATGAAGCTTATATATATTGCTATAGGGGTTCCCCTCTCGAACGGGAGAACGCAATTGTACTTCATCGTCGCATTGTCGTTTAAATGGCTCTTCATATGCACAAGAGCGATCGTGTTCGTCAACGGCAACGTATTGCAATGCGTTCGTCGTGCCTTTTAGAAGAAAATGAACGTGAGACACGTGCGTTTTGTTCTAATAATATAACTTTGTATATATATTTATATGTACAAGTATGTTAGGTGTACGAAGCACAGAGAGAATAGACAAGGATTTACACGAGTCATCGTTTTGTCTGAAAGAAACGAGTAATCTTTAAAGTTCTATTGACGTAATCATCTTCTTTAGCAGCTTCCTCGATCTTACGAGAATTTTTAACGGACATATCTTGAAAAGAACAAAAAAATGATTAATGGAGTGTATAGGGCTATACTCGTACAGTGTTATACGCAATCCTTTTCATCTTCATCTTCTTCTTCTTCTTCTTCTTCTTCTTCGTTAAGTCTTATAAGAAAACTGAACTTGTACAAGAAAGAGAAAAAGAGAAAGGGAGAAGGAGAGTATACTTTTTTTTTTCGAGACGTCGTTTATTTCTTTTTTCTTGTTTTTTCCTTCTCCATCTTCTCCTACCATTTTCCATGATCAAGCTTGGCGCCAGACGTAAGATTCTTGAGTGGCTCGTGCGACCAACGCAACAGGATTTAACCCTCCAGCTATGTACATAATATTCTTCTCCTTTTTCTCTCTCTTTCTCTCCCTTTTTTCTAATTACATTTCACAATCAATTTTTTTAACAACACTATTATTAAACGATTAAAAATACGATCTAGAAACGCAAGATAAATCGCGTTGCAATGGATTTTCAATTTAAATCGATCGATAATAATCGAAATTATCATTTTTTTTCTATTAACCAATCAGAATTCATGACTTATTTCGACCAATTAAAATTCATTATTTATATTGACCAATAAAAATATTGTCTGTCTCGACGTCATAATTTTCCGCGAAATTCAAATGAAATTTCGAAAGAGTACTTTTTCGAGGAAACTATAACGTTGAGCCAGTTACTTCTTTTGTTATGTTTCTTTAGTTGAGAGCGTTGAGAGAGTTGAGAGAGATACATAGCAATTATCTGTCATTTAAACTTGTGAATTATATGTCTCCGCGACATCTGGCAATAAACGAAATTCCACAAAACGGGTCGAGCAAGCTCGTGACGTGTCACTTGCTTTAGAACGCCAATCTTATGCTAGAAAATGCTAGAAAATGTTAGAAAAAGGAAACGAATCACCGACCGATGCATAGATAAACATATTTACGCATAAAACAACTTGGAAAAATATTTTTCATTTATAAACACCGGTCAAAGATTAATAATTGCTACGTCGCATATGTTATCACATATTTCTATTATATTTAATCGTAGGACAAAAACAGTGCAGTTTCTAAGAATTTTGAACGTTACTTTTGTCATTAAATAAAAATGAAAAAACAATATCTCGATCGTAGATCTAGGTGCGATAAACGTCATGATTCGTAGAGAGTGAAAAACAAAGGTAACAATAAGAAGAGAGATCGTGAAATATCGGTGTGACGTTTACGATCGAAACTAACTGCATCGTTTCGACTTCGTTCGGTCCCACGATCCGTTGTTATCTCTAATTGTGTAATGGTACCTCGGAGAATGTTAGAGAATCGGGTCAGAATGTATGGACGACGACGTTCCTTTCCGGCGAAGGGACTTCTCATTATTCTCGCAATAATTATGCGAAGATATTGCACTAACAACACGTGTGATACCTTTTTTTTTTTTCTTTTAAACCATCATTGATCCATATCGTTAATCGTTTATGATTATTGATTTACAAAAGAATTTGGAAGACTTGAAAAAGACATCACATATGCAATAGGTAATATTTTTATAATAAAAAAGAACCTTATCTATCCGTTTTTTTCCTTCTTGGATTCAGATGATGACATAAAAATTCTTGAAATGAATATAGACTAACAGGATTTATATCAGTTTGTATTTCCGGACGCGATAGACAGAAGTTTATGCAATATTCACATCCTCTTGCTGATATTTTATTCGTTTAACCGGTGACATAACTGTACCATAATAATGTTAATGTGTCCATGGTAGTTCCTTTCGAAACTTTCCAACTTAGTCTAGTCAAATCAATGGTCGGTACCAACCGATTGATGTTGTAGTTTTTAAATGAACCTAGAAAAGAATTTACATATATATTATTAATCAAGAAAATAATGTACAATTTATATGCATTGATTTAAAAAAAAAAAAAAAAAGAGGAATAGTATAAGGAAAAATCTTTGTTTATAGAAGATATAAAGGAAAATCAAGGCAAGCTGTATTGTGACAAGCCCTAAGAACGGGTTCTCCCCGATGCTATTTTTACGGGGTGTCGCGTATGATACGGGACAATCGTGAGTCACGTTTTAAAAACTGGTTCCGTGCTTCGTATGCAGTTACCCGCATTCTTATACTTGCGAGAAGACACCCGAGTCGTGCGATTTATGCGCGTCGTGCCACTCTTTGCCCTATGTCTCTTATTACCTTTTGATTAGAAAAAAAAAAACAAGACAAAATCTATCAATTCTATTACGAAATATAACATTACGCATATCTTGATGTCATAATTAAATCCAAATTTAGACTCTAGTATCTTCTCTTGATTTTCTCTTTGAAATAACATCTGTTTTGAAATATATTAATTTTCTGAATGTATTAAAGGATGAAGCTAAAGTAAAGTTGAAAGGAGACTTCTTGATGAAGTTACCTTCGAGAGAGACGATATTTTCCAAGGTCGTCCAACGATCAACTCCGGTCAAACTCGATCGGTCGATTACCCAGCGGCGCCTACTCCTCCTACTTTACTTCCCCCTCACCGGCTTCTTCTTCTCTATAAACTTATGGAATTTTTATTTCGTTTCTTCGGCGACGACCTACGCTCATCTCGACTTCGTTCAAGATCTCGAGAAACCTTGAAGTTAACACGACTTGTAAATTTCACAAGATATAATCTTTATCCTTAATTTATCTCTTTCTCTTTTTCTTCATTATTGTATCAACAAAATAAATGACTCAAATGTTATCCTACAATTTGTACATGAAAAAAGAAACAATGTATTAATTTATTACAACACTTTGTGAGATGTTGAACGAGAACACCCTGTAGATGTCATCAATATACACAGATACAATGCATATACAGATGCATCCCAGACGACGCATTCAATGGTCAACGACGTTTTCGATTTGCGGATGAAGCTAAAGGGTCGCTGGACTCCGAAGAATCGATTCTTTATGCCGTCGACGTTTCTCTTCCAGACGCGGAGAAGAATCTTTCGTGCGAATCACGAACTCTGTCGTTCCTTACATTACATTTTCATTTTCTTCTACTTGGAATAATCAAGATCCTTGAAGATTTAACAACGATTACAAAAGTATAAAGATATCTTTGACGTTCTATTTTTGTTCTAGCAATTTTTCTTTTTCACCGTGAACCTGAAACAAAATTAACATGATTTTTAATCTCTATCTTAGCATATAAAATTTTGTAGAAAATATTTGTTTACGATTTGTAAATAATCTTATTGAATTTAGTGTATTGAAAAAGACGCAAAATGGTGAGAAGATATTTGTCGTAGGTAGAACTACATAGATAACACGAGATCTCGCGTGTGGGTACTAATTATGTTTTGCTTTGCTACGCGATCAAAGATAACGCAAAGATGTTGAAAAATCCAAACGTTGAGAGAGAGAGAGAGAGAGAGAGAGAGAGAGAGTAACTCGATGGAAAAGCTGAGGGAACGTATCTCCGAGAAATAAATGAAAAGAAAGAGCTGCAAATAAAAATAAAAAAAAAAAAAAAAAAAACAAGAAAAAAACTTCTGACGGAAATGGTTTTTAATTTAAAAGATGATAAGCGCCGTTGTGTGAATTTTCTTTTAAAAAGATAAATGATAAATTGAGAATACTATAAAACGATCATTATATGAAATACAAAATAATTAATAATATTCTATAAATAATATTGATTTTCCAACAAATTCTGGAACTCTCGGATCGTTCGATTATCTATAAAAAAAATATCTCTTCCTATTATTTCGAATTTAGAACTAATGATCTACGTATATAGTTTGTAATCTTTCCTACAATCGATTTGCCAACTCACGTTTTGTTTGTCTTCCAGTCATTACAGAAAAAAAAAAATTAATAACCGTGACTCGAGTATGTTATTTGTTTTCAATATTTCTAATCATTTTTAATGAAATAAATTGTTGAAAACGCTTCGAAATAATTTAACTAAACGATGACAATTCGATTGTAGATTCTGTATAGTTCGTATCTACACATGCGTATCTTTATAGTAATTATGTGAGTAACATTGACATTGCCACACCATTTCCGGTCAAATAGTGTTCCATGGAGAATATAAAAGAGAGAGAGAGAGAGAGAGAATAGATACGTGGGTGTATCCTGAACAAAAGAAATCTTTTACAACGATTTGATCATAGATATTTTATATCAAAATTCTGTTTGCATCATGAAGCAATGATAAACAATTATATAATATCAAATTTTAATTTGTAATAAATCTCGATTATATTTATAAAAATAATAATTAATCGCTATACATTTTTAATTCATCATCATATTTTTCATCGATAAACTCTTGGCACTACAGTAAAAAAAAAGTCCTTCTCATCTCTTTCACTTCAAAAACAAGATTAAACTATACTCATTAATAGCGTAAGATTAAAATGTCATACATAATTTAATGCAAAGGACACTCGTCGATAAAAACTTCCTTAAAAGTATATAGAACGAGGTCGTTGTTGCGTATACCGAATATGTCAAAATAAATTACTCCTCGGAGGACGTTCGTTTTATGCTTTCGCTTTTTTTTTCCTTTTTTCCTAAGAAAGAAAAAAGAAAATAGACAAAAAATTAATTATTATACTGCGATTAAACTTGAAATAATTTGTTTTTTATATATCTAGCAATTGAATGGAATGATGTAAAAGAAAAGATCTATTTTATCACTCGAGAGTTACTTTGAAATAAAAAGAAGGGTGTGATTTTTTAAATCCTTCATCTAGTCAAATTATTATTCATTATTCATTAATTATTCTCTTTGTAAATTGCAAAGATAATAATGCGATCGTATAATATCTTTTGCGACAATAGAAATCATCGTGTCGTTATCCGAATAATTGGAAACAATTTACCAAATAGAATGTCCATAATTGCATGAGTGGTTTTCAGTATTCGTCCTTGACAAGTATAGACTAATCTTCGTATTTGCAAGGGAAATACCGTCTCGACATTTAATTTCCATTAGCACTGAGATAAAGACACCGTAAACATTTTCTTTCTTTCTTTTTCTCGATAGTTCAAGGCTGCATATACGTGTCAAAATTCTTTCTCCTTTATATTCTCTACCTTCCTGTTAGAAAATAGAAAAATAAATTCAATGCATTTAAGTGCAATAGTCGTTGGATCAATTTTTTGTACATAATATTTAGAAATATGCAATAAATAAAATATTAACAAGTCAATGTCGTCATATTCAAAACAATTCTATTACTTCCCTCGGCCATTAACGGTCAACAGGTTAGACGACGTGAATCATGTTCAGGAAATTATTATAGTTGTTGCTGACAGATGCGCGCGCTCATGCATACTCGCGTCATGGATTTTCACCTAAACATATCTTCGAGGTGTCACTAATGAATTTCCTCCTCTTTTATGCTTGACAAAACTTCAGATCCTTCTTCTTTGATCCAACATTCGCGTATTTTAATCCTAAAACAAGAAGTTAACGACTGTAAGATACATGTAATGATGATAAAAAAAGACATAGGCTTCGTATATTTTATTCCCGACGTCAGCTGGTATCATGGTGATCCGTTGCAACGCCAATCATTGCCTTATCCGGTTGATCGTTTGCCCTGCTTACTAAACTCGATGTATGTGTTGATATATTATACATTAAGTTACTTTTCAAAAAGTACAAACTAGTTACTTAATAGAAATCTGTTACTTCATTCAATTTTTTATAAATAAATAACATTTTTTGGTAAGCCAAATTCATTGAATTCTAAATAAACAGTTAGAGAATGCAAGGATGTTTAGTTCGTCAGTATTAAAGATCAACGAGTACATATACGATCATTGTGATTCATCGATGAAGAATAAATTGCCCTTACGCGTTAACTCGTCCTCGGCATACGAATTAATAACATTGAATTGGTCGTGCCTGTATAGGCACACGCGAACAGAATATGAATTAAAAGCTAGTCCTGTCTAATCCATCAAATGAATCTCTTCGACCTGATTCCAACTCTACATTTTAGACACTGAGTCATTTTTACGTTAACGTTTAATACATACTTTATATAGTTCATTCGATTGTTATTCATTTTTTACAGATTATGAACACTATGGATATTATGGAATCATGTCAAATGCAAAATCATCGATCGATTATAAATCTCCATATATTTCCTTCATTCCTGAAGGAGAACTACTCCATAGAGAACGTCGGAAGGCTATGGATAACGACAAGATAAATTCCGATAGAGAACCTCTAGTTGAATTGACTGATGACAAGAAGCAACAGCAACAGCAACAGCAGCAACAGCAACAGCAACAGCAACAGCAAGGGTCAGAACAAACTTCTATTAATCATCAGATAAATATGCAACTACAATCGACGCTTCAACAAAACCTGAAACAACAGGAACAACAGCAACAGCAACCACAAAAATCTCTTAATGTAACACAAAACTCACAATCAGATAATAGTTCCTATTCGACGATTAGTGGAGCACCAGAGATTCACGAGGCAGTTTCTAGCACCACTCCAAGTATAATGGTTTCTACACAAAAATCTGAAGTTACGTCCAAGAAGTCAGTTGTTGTATCTCAGCCAATGAATCCAGTACGTTTAGTATATCTTCTGAGCTATTTTCTCCTATAAAAATATTATTATTTTTAATCTTCTATTAAAAGGAATTACATTCGTTTTATCAATATGAGCTACTAACTTGAATAATCCATTTTTAGGTAACTGGAAGTGCTACACAGCAACGACCTGGTAACACCACTGAGGAATCGGATATTAATGAAGGAGGCTATGTCAGTGAAGCAGTCAACAACGATCAAAGCAAAAAGGTTCCAGAGGTTTCGGAGCCTACCACTGCAAAAGACAATAGTAATGAAAAGGAACAGTCAGATACAGATATAGGTGACATATCCATCACCAAGTTTTCTGATATGAATTCATTCAATAAATCACTCACACAAAACAATATCACCAAGACCGAGATGGATACACATCAGTATTACAACAGTTCATTCATAATTGATGAAAAATTTGCAAAGTCATATTGGGTTGACATGGATAATCATCCTGATCTTCGTGTTAATAATTTGCTTAGCAAAAGTCATCGTCGTGCAGCAGTAAGAAAATGATCTCTTCTCTCTTTTTTATAACAAAACAATGAATATTAATAAATAAAATGCATGTCTATCTCATTGTTGTTTAGACCGTCAAATTGAAATTTGACTTCCCATTCTATGGTCACAAAGTTCGTAATATTACCATTGCAACGGGTGGCTTTTTATATACTGGAGAGTATGTACATAGTTGGCTAGCTGCCACTCAATACATTGCACCACTTATGGCGAATTTCGACACAAGACTTTCCAATGAAAGTTTTGTTAAATATGCCGATAATGGTGAGCAATACATATAAATCTTATTCCTATCATTCTTACATACTATCTAACTATTACAAATATTTCTAGGTTCTTCATTTACGGTCGAATGGGAAAAAGTTTATCTGCAAGAGAAGCAGTCAGATGGTTCATTTACTTTCCAAGTAACTCTGCATCAAAACGGTGACATCGTTTTCGTCTATTCTGTTATTCCTTTCATAGTAGAACAAATAGAAGACACTACACATCCTGTCAAGGTTGGACTCAGTGATGCTTACATTATGGACAGGACAGTATTCTGTAAGTCTTATATTTGTTCTTTTTTCTTGTCTATTTTCGCAGACAAAAGCCTTTCGTTTTTTTCATCAGTTGCTCTAGACATGTCACAGACTTACTTGAGTGTAGTCTCGATCTCCACCTGGTATCGTTTAATTTTAGCATAACGTATAAAGACTGGCTGGTTGCCAGTTCTAAAAACGTCCTATGAGATTACTGGAACACAGTCCATCCTATTCTCTCGTTCTTTTTGTTTTTCTTCATTTTCTTCGTTCAAAAATTCTAAAAAGCGATACAAAAATGAATTAGAAATCTAATTTATTATTTATGCTTTGTTCTAATAGTTGTTCGTCGAAAAACGATCTACGAATACCATCGTGTCAATTTCAACAGACAAGACATCAAAAATTGGACGGTCATTTATTTGCGTGCATTACCCACTTGCTTGGAAATGGATAATTGCCACGATTGCATAACAAAGTTAACAGATTTTGATTGCAAATGGTGTCCCGAATTGAATCAGTGTAGTACTGGTACATTCAGATCACGACAAAACTGGCTATTAAAAGGTTGTGACATTAGACATATTAAAGAAGTGGACAAATGTCCATCACCAACGACTGTTTACAAGGAACAAGAAGAAGGACATGATCACGATGGACATGTGCATACAGAAGAAGATGCTAACATAAGTAAATCTATCGTGAAGAAGAAAAGTCCAGGAAACAGTCCTTTAGAACATAGTGAGTTTAGAAACAGTTAGACTTAATTAATTAAGATTCTAATTAATTAATAAATATTTGGAAGACTGCACAATGAATACCTTTTGCAGCTCGAGATAATATGAACATGAGTGTGTCAGGTATAATTGGAATTCTCCTTGTGGTCACTCTGATTGCTGGTTTAGGAGGATGGGTTGCATATGCATATCGTAATCCTCACAGTGCATCCGGACAAATGTTAATCAGGGTAAATTTAAATCTCTAACGTTCTATATTTTTACATGGACTATTGTTCCTAATTACAAAGAGTGAATATTCATAATCCTATTGTTAATCTTTTAGTACCGACCAAGTCAGTGGAGCTGGCGAAGAGGGGAAGCACGTTACACTGCTGCAACAATCCATATGTGATCACACATAGGCAAAATATGAGAAAGTTAACAGAAATGAAAGAATACAGAACTGCTGGACCAAACTTCCTACTAATTGTATACTACTGTGAACACCAGACACGACAAAAGTACATACCCATCTATAAAACGTTTGCTTGGACAATGAGAGAAGCATGTCCTTCCAGCAAAATTTGCAATAATACAAGTTAAGATCAAGTATATGCAGATCTATAAATATATATATATATATATATATATATAAATATATTTTATCATTGATTAACTACATTCAGATGTTTTGACCATGTCAACTTGTAAGCAAATGATGTGATCCTTGAAGAAGAGATTGCTGAAAATGATATCATTCCTACAAGAGGCATCAATGAATGAAATCTATGAGTTACTTATATAAACTATTTTATAAACAAACCAAGGATCAATGAGCTCGAACTCGCATTTGATGGACTCAGAAGCAACAATCAGGACACGATAGTGGCATGCATATTGCATTATTACAAAAGTGTTTACTATACTTGTTAATCGTTAAAATCAAATGTATAAAAGAGTGATTATAATACTCTCAGAAGAAAATGGTGAAGATCAAGGATGGGTAACTTAGCCTGAGTGTCGAGCATTTATGTGATTTTAGCAGCATGCGGTATATCTTGTTATTGTTTAAGAATTCGTTTTTTTTTTATCGTTAGATCAATTATTACAATGATATTGTTTTAAAGTATGTGATTTTTTTTTTGAATCGAAGAAAAATCAAGTCGAAGATCGCTCTCAAATAATATCAGTTTTTATCATGTGGTCACGATGAAACTATAGACATTATTTGAATGAATATTTACTTACCAATCTTAATTTTGTAAATGATAATATTCGCTTTGGTACATTCCAAAATTTTCGAAGAATATTCTATGGTTTATAATTTGATTGTAGTTTCATCGTTCCTCTAATACACAACACACTGATATGCGCACATATCTGCAATTTTAAATAATAATGAAAATGAGAAAATGTTAAAAAAAAAATAGAAGATGATACAAAAAGATAAAAAAAAAAAAACAAAGGAAAAATTTTATATCCATATTCGATGAATAATTATTAGATCACGATTGTATGTATATATAGTAGTTTTTTAAGGATAATATATATTATTTTTATCTAATTGTAAGCGAATTTACACTGTCTAAAGGTGCCTTTTAACAAATTTCGGACAAATTTTTATCCCTTAAAGAGCATAATAATAATCTATTATAATATTTTTTTAAAAGATGCAATTATGTATTTTGAATATATGAAGTTAATTATAGAAAATTGATATTTAATTAAAATATCATTTAGAAAATATTCGTTCTATCATAAATAAATACGAATTTTTCGAGAGAATGTAATAATCAATTAAAAATTTTGTTAATGATATGATATTATTTTATTATGAATAAAACAAAAATATGTATCTTTGGATAATATTAATAATTAACGCCTTAGATATCAAGAAAACGCGCAGAATAAAAAAGCAAACAAATTTATAAAAGAATCCCTATTAGTTTAATAACATTGTACGATTTAACTCATAGTTTGTGATAATAAATATTATAATTATTACGATTTTGTTGTTGTAAATCAGACATTTTCCACTTTTTCGCATACAATTACTCGGGATTTAAAATACAGATACCTGCATATTAATAATATACTAAAAACAATTAAAATACTTTTGTATAATTATTCAACGCATTAACTTATATTAATTATTAATATTATTCTAAAAATGTGCGAAATATTAAATAAAAATGATAAAAATGTATAATAAATTACTCACGCTTACGACCGGCTCGTATCCACTTGAAAACAGTAATGCCATTGCCAACGTAAAGTCACGCATGCGCACTAGGTTATCCTCAGTAATGCCAACGTAAAGTCACGCATGCGCACTAGGTTATCCTCAGTAATGCCAACGTAAAGTCACGCATGCGCACTAGGTTATCCTCAGTAATGTATATACTTCACTCAAATATGGGGTATCGTTAGACCCCCGTGACAATAATTGAAATACGGTAAAAATTACAGAAAGAGGATATTTTAAAAAGAAATAACATATTTACACGGAAATAAATGAATATATCCATCTTCTAGCTTCTGTCACTGTAATACACTAATATTGCACTACAATTTAATATATTATATGTATAACATTATGCGACTCACCTTCACTTTAACGAAAAACCCGGGAAACGACTGGGAAGGGCTCCTTACGCGCACCTACTGTTACACATAGGTACATCCATGGAAACTATCACTGTCGAGCTGTGAAGTCAACATGCGCATGCGCACGAAGGCTCCCACTTTCTTACAGAAGTGCCACCACATGCCTAAATAATGAAATAAATGTATGTGGTGTAAACAGATGCATTAAATAATTTAATTGAAATTTAATTAAAAAATGGCATCTTTAACTAAAATTATGCAAATTTCGAAATCTGTGAATAATGTTGCAAAACTTATTTCTAATATGTCATTATCCGTCAATACTAATTTAGTTTCTAATACTCAATGTTTTCGAAGGTTATGTTCCATCTATCATATTTACTCATTTAATTATAATTCTTTATAATAAATTGTAATTGTTATATTTTCTAATTAATATAGGTTACCTTTACAATCAAGCGTATTTTTACATACTTCTTCAACAAAATATGGTTTAATGGAATTTTTTGATGATGAAAAAAATTGGGGCAAAGATACAGTCAAAGTTGGACGTGAATGGAGGCTAGATGAATTAAGATTAAAAAGTAATGAAGATCTTCACAAGTTATGGTAAATATAATTATTGAATAATCAAATTTATGTTAATAACTAGCAATTTTAATTCAAGAAATTCCAGGTTCGTTTTAATTAAAGAGCGTAACATGCTCTTAACGATGCAAGAAGCATGCAAAAGAGCCTATGAAATATTTCCAAATCCTGAACGTATTGATAAAGTTGATATGAGTATGGGCAATTTAGAAACTGTTGTTCGTGAAAGAAATAAAGCTTATCATTTACTTGAAACCGGAGAAACAGGAGAACGTCCAGGAAAATTTGTATACAGTCCACTCGGTCGGTATACTATAGCAAAACTTTCATTTGTAGTTTCATTCGTATCAAAATCAATTTCACAGTGTTTTATCTTTTACAGGACTTAGATCTTATTACCGTATGTGTGAATATCTTATACCAAAGTTTATGAACAAGAAATGGCATAAAACACACCAGTTTGGGTATGGTGGCTACGCAGTAAAAAGATTTTTGCGCTTTTATAGAGAAAAATTATGGAATATTAAGCGCAGAGCAAGAAAGTATGTTTATTATGTTTTGCCCCATATGATGTAATTATTTATTTGATTAATTATTTTTTCATCTCTTTAGTCGTGAGTTTAATCAAGCTATGGTGCTGCTCAGAAGATTCCCAAATTTAGACATCGAAGCATTGAAGGAGAAATATCCATCAGTTGACATAGAAAAAGCAAAACGTAGACGAAAAGCACAAGGACATTTTACACCAATGGAATAATGATTATTTTATGAAAATATAATCTATAAAAACTTAAAATGTGTATTATAGATAAAACAATTGTTAGGCTTGTGTCAAGGTTGCTTTTAATGAAATCAAGTATCACTTAACATTGATAAAAAATTATTCTTACGAATGATTATGGAATGTAACAGGCTCATTTATTTGACTAGTTTGGAATAGTTTTATTTGTTTTAAACTGATATAGTATTTCTGTTGAATAAAAATTTATGTAGAAAGTACACAGATTTAAATGTTAATATTAGATGACTGTAATATGTAAAAAATCTATTACTGTATGCTTTCCACATAAAAGAAAATAATATATAAAAAAAAAAAAACAATAGAATACGATGCATAAATTAACATTACTAGGATATATAATATGCGTATCACATAAATCAAACGATATTATTAAATCTACATCGACAATATAAAAAACAATATGGTGAACATTTTAATAATTAATCGTTAATAGATTATTAGATAACTACAAAATTATCAAATTATAGAATTGAATATTAACTATTTTCTTTCAATTACAAATAAAAAGCTGCCTACATAACTTACTTTTTAGAATTCGACGAAGGTACATGTGCCTTTTAGTGTGTTGCTGGTAGTCATAACTATATAGTCGTTTATAATTTTATGAATATATGCACTCTATATAATTTTAATAATATACAACTGTTTTATTATTTGTCTTGCCACGATACTTCACAAGATTTGACCATTACAGCTCCATAATGATTCGTGAAGTCTCTTTCTTAAACCATTTAATCCAATAGCGTTAACGTAAAGCATTTAAATCTTATGTTTGAGATCATATACGTAACCTTTACATTTTTAAATGTTTCAAGCAATCTTCGTGGAAAATTATAACCTAATGAAAAGTTAAGATATTATACAATAGCGTTTGTAAATAAGAAGGTACGATTGTAAGAATAAGATTAGAAAGCTCTGTTATCTGTACCTGTATTAGGAATGTTAATCATTCGTTATATACTCATCGTATATCAAGCGGTATACAGAGTATTAGATTAATTTTTGCAAATTTAATTTAAGCTTATAATTTCTGTTCCCTTTTTTGTTTAGAGAACATTTTCTCAAAGATAATTAATTTTCATTGCAGTTAGTGCATATTCATTATCCTATTTTCTTAGATAAATGTGAGTACATAGACACTCATACATGTGATTTAACACAATCCTTCACAATTGCCAATATATTACAATTCACATACCAATATAAATTACTAGTAAATAATTAGGAAAATTTATACTAAGAGACAATAAATTGCACCACTTTGTGCACGTGGCACAATTAATTAATATCATTTAAAATTACTAAGTTAAAATCAGGCAACCTAAACATTTAATACATTACTCAAATTTTCAATTTAATTTAAAACTAAAATATAACATGTACGTTGTAATTTCAGTATAGTATGCTACTTCTTAGTAACATAACACTTAAACGTGTAGTGTATTATACCATTAAAAGTAAAATTCATTATTTTCGATTTTTTCGATATTACCTTGTAGGTTATCAATATGCAATTCTTTGTTTTTTTTTTTCTTTATCAGGAGTTAAAGTAAAATATTTGTTTTTAAAGGTATTTCTATCGTGTGTCTATTGATACACTTTACTGTTTATTCGACTGTTGACGGTAATAAATATTGCCAAGCATATTCTAAATCTTTACTAGCATCCGAACAGCGTCGATGAAGTTTATCTTCTGGAGGAAGCGTAACCATAGGAAATTCACCCTAAAATATCATAAGAAAGTGTTAAGTATTTGTTAATCAAACAATATCATTTTATATATGCATCAATAATGATCATACCAAATCCGCATCGGCCCATAATGTTTGTAATATCTCTCTAAAGGTACAGAGCTCTGTATAATTAGTAAAATATATAACCCAATCACCGCTACTTTCGTGAACCTCCCGGCATGCGAATTCCTAAACATTTGAAATATCATAAGTAACAGAAACATTGTCAAAAATAAAATGAAAGTAATAATTGTAGTATAATTACCAATATACACCAAGATTGTTCAGGTAAGGGTACTCTGAATGCTGTTAAATCTTCCACAGAAGCACAGGATAATGTTTGATTGCGTTGAGTACCTGGATATACTTCTTTCATAGCAACTAAATGTCTGGTAGTCGTGATAAGACTACAAGGCATAGGCTCCCTCTTATCTGAACAATCAAATAAACCAGATGCACTCTGGACAAAACTTTGCAACCATTCAGAAGCAACATATTCATCTGGTGCAGCAAATTGAAACGCTTTGTTTGGTTTCAAAAGTATTTCAAATGTATGCGGTCTATGTGAGTTGGGAATTCTTCTGCAACCTTGACACAGGCCACCTTTTAATGGAATGGCACGTTTAGGAAGGCGTTGATTTGAATCTGTAAACATGTAAACTACACCGCCTTTAAGAACAAAATATCCAGCTTCCCAAGGATTTATTGGTGCATTGGGATGTATTTGCTGATAAGTATGAGGTCTAAACATAAGATCTCCTTCCTTGGTAGGTCCACATGGTGTACTTGGAGGAGACATGTGTTCATCCTCCATATAAATAAGACTGTAATGTTCTATTTTTTCATCCTACGAATGACATTAAAATTAGTCAAATTATTTAACTAATAATATAATGTAATTTACTTACAGGATGTACAGCAGTATCGGATAATATCGATTGCTTCAAATTATGCATGTCTTCGTAACTTAGTTCTTTTACAGCTGGCAATTGAGGTTTTGATGGTGATCTTCTCATAGCTATTTCCAAGTGTGTAATTAATTCAGAAGTGGTTTGTGAATTGCCAGTAGAAAATAAATACTGCATCTCATAATCAGCGTTGGAGATTAAAATCGTTTGTGCATTTGGTCCAATCTGGAGAAAAATTGTAATTTTTTCGTTAGAGTGTATTATTTAATTAGAAAAATTGTGGAGATTTAAATAATAATATATTTTCATTACCATTATAACATCTAGCTCGTTGTAAGGAATTACGAATTGATTACTGTACGAATGATCCATTTTTGAGCCAGTTAAATATAATGTTTTATCTGTTAGTAACGCGATCATAGGCTTGCTTTCTCCATTTGTCATGTATGAACTTCTAACTTTATAAACTTTATACAATTCTTCTGTCTTGTCTCTGTAAATATGTTTCTTAAAGGTTTCTCGCAATTTTAGGCTTATTTTCTCTCCGCTAAATTCTTGTTTTTCTGCAGCAACATTCTCTTGTATTTCTCTCTCAAGATTATCATTAAAATCTTTGAAGGAATCATAATTAGCTTTGACTCCCTTGATATATAAGGGATTAGCCTTCTGTTGCTTTATTGTTTTCTTATTTTCAAATTTTCTTTCCGTAATAGATCTCAAAAATCTACTCAACAATGACGTTTTAGATGGTGCTTGTCGTAAAGGAGGTGCCAATAATTTATTGCTACTTTCACCCGTTAATATCGAGGTCATGTTACGTTTTTTAGATGGCGAAGCTAAGTGCCTATTAATCTTACGTTCTTCTAAATCGGAAGTTGTAACGCTCTCTACATCGGACCAATCACTAGAACTGGCATATTTCTTAATGTTTAACGGTCTTGGCATTTCTACTTTTACTGGTGGATCTTCGACAATATTGCCGTATTGTTTTTCAATGATATATGCTTCTTGTGCTTCGTTCTCTTCTAATTCTATCTCCATTTTTGGTCTTAAACTTTTAGCAGGATCCTCTTGTCCTTCCGGTGAACCACGTTCTGGTAAAGATAGACCACAAGAACATTTACAATTTTTCTGGCACAAGGTTTGGTTGCACAACTTTTCTACTCCTTTTTTCTCAAGATCACTGTCGAATACGCTCGATGAAGACGAAAAAGAATAATAATCAGAATGCGCGTTTCTTGTATTGGTACTTTTCTGAACATAAGGAGAATCTCCGTGGCCGCACCAACTGTAACGTCCCTTCTGAGCATCCTTCTTTTGAATCGAGTTCGGCGTTAGAAAGCTCATGGAGAAATCAGCAAAGCTTTCGTCTTCATCTAATTTAATTGATTTTAGAATATCTTCGTGAAAACTAACACGTTTTTTGCTTTCACCACGTTTCTTCTTACGTTGTCTACGTTGTACTATGGCTTCAGAACTAGAAGTTGACAGAATGCTAGCATCTGCCATACTAAGTGTGTTCAAAATACCATAAGGAGGCTCTATATTATCACAATCAGAAATGGTCATGCTCAATTCCAAGAGATTAGTATCATTATTAATCACATAAGAATTACGAGGATCTATGTTCTTCTTGAAACTATAACTGCCGTCCCCGTAATAGCTGCTCCTTTTATTTATTTCTTTGATTCCATTATCGCATTTATTATTAACAGCATCCAAGTGAACCGTATCAAGACTTCTGCTGTAAAAATCGTAGCCTTTCAAAGTGTCCAAACTCGAACAGTTGAGTTCGTTATCTTCGAGTTTTCTAGTTAAATTTTGATTAGCTATGTCGCTCTTTGTCATAATCACATTTTGAAATTTGCTAACTGCAGGAGACTGCATTGGTGTTTTTCCATCCTCGCTAGAATCACTCGAGCTAAAATTCTTGTTCTCTTGTATACAGTTGTTAATAATAACTTTGTATCTGTTATTTCGATAATCTGGGATATCATCCATAGAAGAATCTTCCTAAAAAATGTATCAGTGTTAAAAGAAATGCAGGGTCAAATTAAAAATATAAGATAACTTACTTCTTTATAACTGCTGGCATCAGTTTCATTCGCTAGGTCCATGTCACTATCGAATGCAACACCACTATCTCCGGGAGAGGCTAAGCTCGAGCATACACTAGAAGATCTTAGATGTAAAGATAATACAGTTCCAGAAGAGTTTATGCTCATAGGCCTTTGTGGCATATAATTGCAAAAATCCAAATATGTCACATCCTATATTTCAAATAAATATTTCATTTTACAATAATATTTTTTATATTATAACACAGATATATACTATTTTTTTTTTATTAACACAAACTTTTCCAAGCATAAATTATAAATATATATATAAATCATATTCTAATTGCAAAAATATACTATATACCAAGATAACATATTGACCCTATAATTTATAAAAGCAGATATGTTCTTATATACAACTTTTTCAACAAGACATAAGTTATTTATTACAGAGATAATTGTAACTAGGGGGTGATATTGATATCTGCATGGGGGAAATATAATAAAAACTACATCACAGGTTAAAGGAAAACATCGTCCACTTTAAGTCAACACATTGCTATCTTGTAAAATAAAAAAAATAAGATTATCCAAGTTGCAAATAACAATGTAGGAAAAAAAGAAATAACGATGAGGTTAAAATATACAATTGAATTATCTCATACACAAGATAATACAAATCTCAAATCTGCTATTAACGTTAAATAATATCTTAATATACGTACTAGTTGTAAAGTGAAGGAGACATTTTCTAATCCAGCAAGGAGATTTACAAGTTGGTTTGTCTTATCTGCATCACGAACAAGTGCATGTGTATGGTACTGTTTCTTTAAGGTTTTAGTATCCCGTAGTAAGCAGGCTAAATAACTTTCAAAGCTGCCTTCGCTGAGGGTATGATATAACCATGCTCTACCTACAAAATATAAATAACTTTCTTTGGAATATTCCAATTGTCAAGTATCATGATACTTGACAATAATTGTTTTTCAACAAAAAATATCTTGAATCCATCTCAAAAGATGGATAGAATGTAATTGCAATGAAGTGTATTTACACTTTTCACAAAGACTCACCTTTTCCTATGGAAGTTAGTACATTTTGGAGCGCATGTATCACTACAACAGTATCCTGATGACTTAGTTCTCTTGCCGTACCCCAGTATCCGTGTCTTTCTGTGCGTAAACCATGTCTCAGTGCTCGATCTAGCCAATAAACAAGCCAGGATTCTCCATCCAAGACCACGGTACCATACAGACTCTGAGCGTATACCTAATTGACATAAATAACGATGATTTATTAAAAACTAATGGACACTCAATGACGATACAAAATATAAAAATCTTTTAGAACCGATCCAACAATTGTATCTTAAAATAACACATGTGTTTTGCAATGCATAAAATGCAAATATAAAAATAACCAAGACACGACGTGTTCTTCTTAATTTACTCGTGACACAGAACGTTGCTAAATTTCGTTTCTATGTACTCATCTCAAAGAAAGAACAAAAATTATAAGAACCTTATCGCGGGAATCATTTCAGCTGTGTATCTCAGACGAATCGAAACAAAGAGGACTGAAACTTGAGTAGAGGAGACTTCAATATTCGCGATAACGTTTGAACGATCGTTCGATAGACTTGAGAAATAAAGATAACAAAATAGAAGATTAAAGTAGTCTCGAGTATGATTAGAAGAACATGAACATTAAACGATAGTCTGCTCGTGTAAGAGCACGCGTTAGCTGACAAGATCGCGTGTACTGCGTGTTTGTAATGATCAGCAGTTCTCCTGCTGTCATCTTTGACATTTCTCTAAACTTTTCGACATCCTAATTAAAAATCTAATGAAACAAAAAGAACGACGAAGAAGATAACCAAGAAAATGTATATCAACGTGTCGTCCTTTTTGTTATCCTGGGAGTATAATCGAATTTAACAACAAGGAATCAATTTGGAGTCTCCTCTGACGTCATCCTCTCAATTTTCCTTATCAGACTTTCGCGCGGCGATCCATAAACTGCATTTCCTGTATGACTGTGCGCGTGAAAGTTAGGCTGAACAGTAGTGAAAAAGGAAGGAGAATCTAATAGAGACCTATCCAGAGATAGACAACTTTTTTTCTTTTCAATTCTCTCACTCCTCTTTGCTTTGTTCTTTCTTTTTAACTTGCATTGCGAGTCAAACGTCGATTTTCCTCTTCGATATACTAAACGAATGTGTGTGCGTCTGTGCAAAAGTATATAGGTATTCTGGAATATATATATACATATATAAATGAGTGGCGAATAAAGAATATATACATAAATGGCCTTGGATATTCATACGACACGTTTCTACGTAAAAAGAGAAGGGAAAGAGAAAGGGAAAGGGAGATATAGTTGTAAAGAGTTTTACCTATACACACACCACATTCACACATACACATATTGCACTCCCAACAGCAGTAGCAGTAATATATATGCTATATTACACACACACGCGCGCACACACACACACACACACACACACTCACCAATTTGACGGCTTTTGTTAATTCTTGAAGAATTCTACTCTTGGATAGGACTTTGTCGGTGCAAAGATCCATGTCTTCCTGACCCGGCATTTCGCAATTCGATGTTGTTACATCTTTTTTGTTGAGATAATAGAGAAATTTAAAAGGTAAAAGTGCTAAGTTCCTAAGGGACACGCCGAGCACGTCTCCGATACGACTCGAAGGGATTGCGCTGGCACAACTCTCCTCGCCGGCTGGACTCATTGATTTTTTAGAGGCGCGCAAGTCGCGCGCTAAATTTGAACTCACTACGCTGATCGACTGATGTTCAATCCACTCTGCTACTCCTCTTTAAAACGATTTATCTTTTATTTCTTTTTCTTTTTCTTTTTTTAAATATTAAGTATCTATAAATCGATAATAAGTAAAATAATTGCCTCGTATCACTACGGCATAATATAAATACGAATTGAAAAATAAAGAGAGATGAAGAATGGGTTAAGGATACTCACAGCAATCGTATTTGCAAGAGATTACAAATTCAGAACAAAATGTCGAGGGCTTGCCAACAGGTCGTGGATAATTCCTGCTTTATTCGATAACATATTATCTCTAAGCAAGCGCGAATATGATTTATATTTCTTTTCTTTTTTAATGATTGTAGAATCCTCACCGCTGAAAAAAAAAACAAACTTTAATAATAAATCAACTCCCAAATGTGAGATAAAAAATGATAGAGTATTTTGCACGATTAAATTATTCTTACTTGCTTTTTATAATAATATTTTGAAAATTTTTCACATTTTTAAATACTTTCTTGTTACCTTGTATAAATTTAAAATATTATCCGTTGCGAACTTCCAATTTGAGAACGTTTTTTCTCGAGTTTTTGCGAGTACCTACTTGTATTTTTATAAAAGGTATTTTCTTCTTACTCTAAAAAATGTTGCAATTGATATAAGTGAGAATAAAACGTTGAGAAACGAGAAAATACAAGACACAAAAGATAAAATGTATATGCGCTGCATAAGAGAGACTTTTTAAGTACCTTCTGAAAGGGTTACAACTTCAGGGTCAAGTGCATGTCGAGAGTTGTTAGTTACTATGAAATAATGCACAATTTGTCTTACCCATTTTAAATTCACTCCATTACATTATTATTAATTCTTTTTTTTTAATTTTATTATAAACAATAAATGAACAAACAAGATTTTATAATTCATTATTAGATTTATAATAGAATTGATCGATTGACTAACATATTGATTGATCATAATTTTAACCCACCCGGTATATTGGATAACATTGACTACCGTAGTTATTATTTAAAAAATACATAATACGATATAAATATTTAATTATTTTAACCCTTTACACTGGAAATCTTTTTCGCTCGGGTAAATAAACAACCCAAGATGAATTTCTTCCAGCTATTTTGAAATAATAGATCATTCTATTTTTATTTGATAACAATTTCGAATTAGTGAAAGGTTTGTACGTGTGCATTGTTAAATAAACAAAAAAAAACGCGTAATTCCATTCGAACCATTATTGAAATATTGTTTTGTTTACTCTTCCTTCTATGAGTTGATAATAAATAAAATAATTATCTCATATCTTTACGATATAATATATAAAAAATACGAATTGAAAAATAGAAATATAAAAATAGTAGTAATAGTAGTATTAAAAGTTACTTCTTTGCAAAAATTTTGCACTTATTCAAATTAGCAAAGATTTTACCGCTTTTTACCATCCTCTGAAGTCAACAGCACATGGCATTTGTTTTTTATTTTTCGCATTAGTTATGTTACTAACCTTGCTCACGTGCTTAACTTTAGTGATCGGTCAGGAATTAATAATTAAACAAAATTAGGTCGTTTACTCATTATTGAAATATCGTCAAATTTAATTGTTAAATAAAAATAAAACCTGTGCATTAAAACGTATTGTAAAAGTAATTAAATACAGAGAATAAAAAGAAGAGACATTTTGTAATTTGTAGATAAAAGTGACTAATTAGGGAATTTTGATTGGTATTACTTTTTTTTTTTATCTCACCGTGTATATTAAAAAACGGTTGGTTGCATTAACTTTACTAGTTAACGGTTACAAAATAACGGTTAATTACTCATAACTCGAGGGTGGAAATTTTCGATCGAGCATTTATTAGAAAAGATTATTTAGTTATAAATTAGTTCGAAGGAGAAGAACATAAAGAAGGGAAAGTAAATTCTGATAGAAGTTGATATCCATTAAAAATATTATTCGTATTATCTGCGAAAGCTAATAGCAGAAGTCATGCATTTTTTTTTGTTATTAATGGTAAGTTGCAAATCGTTACAAGAGGTCGAAGTTGACGATTTTTTCAATATCGTTTTTTTTCATTCTCAAGTTTTATCGTGACGTTAATAAACGTGCTGTGATATTAAAAATATATTTTAATGAAATTAATTGTTATATTTGTTTCAAGAACGAAGAACGACTGATAAATTTCCGAAGCACATTACCTGAATCCATTCCTCACAGTTCCAGATTATCAAGACCATTTATCCAAATCCTTCAATATTAATGGTAAAATTATATTATATTTATTAGTTCAATTGCGTTTAATACATGTGCGAATAATTATAACATATAATAAGATTTATTTATACATTTCTTGTCAATACCGTTAAATCGTATCTTTCGAGACAAGATAAAAACACATAGTTCTTAATTTATTATATATTTATTTATCGTTAATCGAGATAATTTGGTAATTTTTTTATGAAAACAAGTAGGTTATGTTAATCAATGTCCAAATTAATTATGTAACCTCAATTTTAAGTTCGAACGGTATAATTGATCAATTAAAAATTAATTCTATGCATTGGAAAAAGATTTTTTTTTTTTTACGTATTAATTATTCTACTTGGTCCTGCATTCATTTGTTTCAAATAAAGAAAGTTTTATTAATTCATGATACATCTTTCCAACGTTAATTATACGTGTAATTGAAGTTTTTTCGTTATTATTTCGATTATATCATTCTTATAGATCAACTTAATAAACAAGTGTTATAAAGATGTTCTTCGAACATCTTTAGAACATTGTTGAAATAAATTATTATATTTGTTTAACATAAAAACAATGAATATGCTTTCTTCGTTTTTTGTTTTTTTTAAAGAAAAGGAATTATGCATTACGCCTGTCTACTTTTCTTTCTTGTCACGAAACGCATACCTTTTGACATTTCAATCAAACTATTTTTTAACTGGAGCATGAAACGAAGAGACGAATGGACTTGATGAAATATCTATCATAACTTTTATACAATAAAAATGATAATAATATTTAAATGGAAAAATTATTTTCCAGGATTTTCTCAAACTGTTTTACCATTCGAAACGATAGTCCTAGAAAAAAGAATTACCTACTGAGCATTATCCGTTTTTATCGACCAGTTTACTGACGATCATCAAGATTAGCCGGTAATTTTAGAAAGTTACACATTAATTGTTATTATTAGCATTAATTATATTTAATACTTTGTTATTGTTTTTACTCTCAGAAACGTTCCAATTATGAATTTAATTTTTTAGGGAGGAGATGGATCAAGACGAGATCTTCTTTACCGACGAAAATGATCGATCTTGATTCTTCTATAAAAATGATCAAAGGTATTTAAATTAAATCAATATTTATATTAATTTTTAATGTTAGAAATGTCTTTTTTTCCTTTCAAAATGTTACAAAAGAGACTAATAGTAAGAAATAATCGATATTGTTTGCAATGAAAACATCAGCTCGTAAGATTTTTGTTTTATTTGTTAACATTTCTTTTGTATGTTGTCTATTTTTAAATAAATTGAAGCACAAGTATATTATGTTATTACTTACATATTTTAAATAGATACACAACATACATATTCAATGTGATTTCTATAACAAAGAACTCAACTTGATTGTTTTAAAAGAGACAAAATACGTGGGATTTGGAAGCTGATGTTGAAACAAAACACACGAGATGCGCCTGGAGCTTTGCTACTTTCTGTTCTTCCCTTTTTATTTTCCATATATGATACGTGGAATATAAAATTAGGATATAGAAGAAAAAGAAATACTAGGAAAAAACAATAAACATATTTTTTATTCCACGTAAAAAGTATAGAAATGCAAAATGTCATTTGTATTAATTTACAAATGTTGGACTACATTAAAATTTAATGTTAACTTGTCATAGATAAATTAAACGCGTTCGTTCTTTCGTATAAACATTATGTAATTAAGTTTCATTTACTTCTCACGTAAAGTGAAACAAACAAAGTAACCACAGTCTTTCCATCTTTCTCTTTCTCGTTGGACACGCATACACAAGAGAATAATATTTTATACGCGTTTGGCATTCTTGTCGAGCTTCTCCTAGATTCTATTATTCAATTTCTAGGAAAGGGCCAGAAACTATTTCTCTCATATACGCTTTTTCCTTGTTAGATATGCGTATTGCTCTGTTTACTCACGAGGAAACAGGACTGAATATCGGCAAGGGGGAAGATCGTAGAACTTATTTTCTCATATTTAGTTTGCACTTTTTTGGTCATTCTTTCTATTATTAAAAAAAGATCGGTAAAAAAAAAAAAATTTTAAAAAAAAAAAAAAAAAGAAGGGGGAAAAAAAGGGAAGAAACTAAAAAGTCATCTCGTGAAAATTATTTATTTCAATGGTTTTAAACGTTGTATTAAAATTTAAAATAATATCGATGTTATATTTTTATAATTTTCCGATTTTTTCTCTCTCTTTCAAATAATATAATATTTCGTTTCTTTCCCTTTTTTTTTTTTTATTTCTTATAAATGCGTTACAATAATACGATCGAAATTGACATAGAAAACTCACTTGAGATTTGAAATTAGATATTTTTTAAGAAATCTTATTATTAGTCTTTAACCTGAGTCGTATTTTTATTATTGCTACTATTATTTCGAGGACTCGTACGTTGTGATTCAGTAGACATATTCTTCTCACTTACTGTATATCGTGATTTTATTTTCTGTTTTCCTTTCGAGCTGGATAATACTTGTCTCGAGCACTCCTCGATCATTCTTTGCTCTTTTTCAGTCAATTCTAACGCCGGAGAATTTCCGAGATTCCCTTCTGAATCTCTGCAAGAAAAAAAAAACACGAGAGTATATTTCTAAAAAAACAGTCAAATATTTATGTAAATTTTTGTTGATACGAGATCTTTATAAACAAATAATCAAACAGTAAATGTACAGTTGCATTATAAGATAGGAGGAGTCAATTGTAATGGTTGGTTTAGTTATTTGATTATTAGACGAGAGAAAAAAATGTTATTACTTACGTTGTAAAAGAAACGGGTCATTAAGAAAAAATTGAAGGGAATATTAAACACGCTCCATTACGGAGAGCTTGCAAATGAGACTACTAAAATGTGCCGTATGCATTACCGGAAGCTTTCTCTCTCTCTTTCTTTCTTTCTTTCTTTCTTTCTTTCTTTCTTTCTTACTTAAAGCGATAGGAAATAGAAAAGAAAAAAAGAGAGAAAATAAAAGAAAAAGAAATTACTCTTCGACTTTAGCTTTCACCACTTCACGTTATCTTTATTACTTTTCATTCTTTTTAAATAAAAAATAAAGAAAATAAAAGAAAAGCGAATAAAAAGCGAATTACGTAAAGAACGGTGAACAAAATGATGAGACAGTGTATTATAAATCTTTATAAAACTTGATAAAAGGAACAAGAATTTTCTAATCCGCTTTGTCATTTTTAATAATATTCACCGTGGAAATACAAAAGCCATTGTTAACAACAATGATCACGATAATAATAGTAGTCGTCCTAATAGCAATTCTTCCATTAAAATGTTACGGATAAAGATAGAAATAGAAATAGAAATAGAAGTAGAAATAGAAATGGAAATAGAAATAGCAGGAAGTCCTTTGCTATCTAATTTCGCTCGATTTTACGCCCGAGCACAGTTTCCGTTAATCTCAACCGCCTATTCGAGTTGGGAATTATTTTTACGAATATTTCTCTCACCTTTGGTGCTTGTAAAGCTTTGTTACGATCTTCCTCAGACTGTTCTCTCTCTTTTGCAGATTCTTAAAGTCGTTTTCCCTCTCCTGAAAACAATGCATTATTTCCGTCTCATGAATCGCTTTCTTTTTCTTTTATGACTTTTTTGTTTGTTTGTTTGTTTGTTTGTTTGTTTTGAAATAGAATTTTATTCTATTATTTTATTTAATTACTTTCAAAACATCCTTAATAGTTTTTAATTCTTGTTCACGTGATTCCTGTATGTGACGTATAGTAATAGTCTCACATGTTAGCCTGAGTATTTGCTGACGATAAGTTTGTTCCTGTTCCATTGCTTTGTCCCAAGCTTGTTCCCTTGCAATCACTGCGTCTCTGAGGACTTGCATGTCCCTTTCTAGGATATCCAGCTCCGATCTACGAGGTTAACGTTACCGGAACGAAAGAGACGTGTCCTTTTAAAAATTCCATTCATGAACGGATAAATCACAGAGAGAAAGAGAAAGAAAGAGCATGTGCACGTATCCCTCAAATCTTTTAAGGATTTTCTTGAAATGTGAAAGGATATATAAAAATCATAGGAAAAATCGTATAAAAGAATAAATGTCAAATTAAATTGCTCATAGATTTAATGTTATATTATTTACAATTGTATTTTATTTACCAATTAGAATACCATTAGTTTTTTTTTTATCTAATCGTTTCATTGAAATTAATGAACTGTTTACGCGCGGCTAGTAAGTAAATAAACAGAGTATCAAAGGAAATAATAATAGTTTGGTCGTTCATTCGATAGCCAATTAATAAAATTAGTTGAATGTTAATCTATGATTACCTTGTAATTGCTACGGCCGGTATGTCATGTGTACAGCTCTCCAATTTGTTCTGGCATCCCTGGCAAAGGGACCAATTCTGTATACCCTTTTCCACAGTTGCTACAATATCGGTGGTAGAACTACTATTTTCCATTTTATTTATAATGTCATTTTCCTAAAATAATTGTTCATTGTAAATATAATTACCATTGCCTGTAGAATAACTTCATAATTATTAGTATTACGTTATTTCATAATACAATTATAAAGTAGAAATCGCAAAAGACGATTCAATTTATTGTTCATTTATTAGTTCTTTCATAGTTTGTTTATTTAACGTACACTTACTAATAGTTTATTTGATTTTTCAGCAAGTTCTGTTTCCTTCTCCATTAATGTTGCTTGCAACGAAGTCAACCTCTGCTCTAATTCCTCGTTTCTACTTTTCTCTCTGTCAAGACTACAAAGAAAAAAGAAGAAATGGATTACCGAGGAAGATAATCGATTTTACTAAGAATTCCTTACCAACTTTTAAAGTTTTCCTTTTCCGCAAAAAGTTCACAACATTTTTCTCGCATCGTAACGTTCTTTTCTTCGAGCAATTTTAATCTAGCTTTGATATTTTCTAAGGAAGTTACATTAGCGATTGAAATTCGTCGATCCCGAGCTGATTCGCTAACAATTTTTCTCATTTCCACACTTCTCTCTGCTGCAAACGCAGGTTGGTCATCTCTACCTACGCAAATTTTCTTTTACTTTTTCATTATTCTTAACGTTCAATCAAATATTTTATTTCTCTCCTTTCTCTTTTTTTATTTTTTTTTTATTTTACAATTAGATCGAACTATGAATAAAATTGGAAAGGATAATAATTCTATAATCAAATAAACTGAGATAAAAATATAAAGAACAATGAATGAAGAACACCTAGGAACAAAGTGAGTAATCTCTGTTATTATATTTTAATGTACTATAACGAGAAATGAAATATTCAGTTATCTCATCGTACGTTCTGTGAATGTAGCTCAATATTATTACAATTTATCGTAGTGTTGTTAAATCGAGCCTCTCCAGATGTATCGGTGCCGGTCGTGCTTTTGCTGTAATCCATCGACGTCGGAGTGATCCACCCAGCTGTTGTATAACTTCCTGAAAGGACGATAAATGTACTCCTTCTGTGTTTGAACATCGATTTTCTTTGTGGTGAGATTTATATTTTCCATAAATAGATAATACGGTTTTTAGATCAAAATAATTAGTATGATTTTGTTATATTTTATTTAAGATGTGTGTGTGTGTGTGTGTGTTCTACATTTATATGATAATTATTTGACTTACAATAAGTCGAATAATTGTCAGAATTAATAGAGAAATGACTCAAAAGATGGATTTAACATATGAATTCTCTTCGTACCTGTGGTGTACATTTCAGTACAAGGACTACGAATATTCGGGGAATGTATATTAGAATTATAATGATCATAAGAACGTGGATTATCCAGATGGTACGTCCGATCCAATCCACGATCCATCGATCGACAATTCAAGCAAGACATCTTGGATCTTTTCTCTTTCCGACGACTACGTTTTCTTATGCAAATTTGATATTTTTTTCGGCTGAGACCCAATTTCTTGAGATTCCTCAACAGCAAGAAAGGAAATTACTATTTTTCTGTTTTTTTGTCTTCTCTTATTTAAATTTTTACATATTACAGATAATTAATGCAATAACAATTGTCAGTGAAAAATTAATATTTTCTTAATTGGACAAAAAGTGTCTTTTTACTGTCTGAAATTTATCATCATTTTCTTTTGTTCTCGCTAATTTCAAATCGTACTTGAAAATTGATCTTCATTTCAATTAATTAGTAATGTTTTTGCAATAAGAAACAGTCTGTTTTCTTTTTCCTTTAGAAATTTTGTCTGAATATATCTTTATAAAAATCTTTGCACAATTACGACCTTACGTCAAAGAAAATGAAAAAAATAAAATAAAATGAGCGAAAAATATAATTCAGTTTCTATTTGACTTGACATCAATGGCAGTAATTGGATTTTACACGGTTGTCGAGTGTGCTAGGCCGTAAAAGAGAATGGAAGAACGCGATAAAATTTTATTTCACTGACGAAAACGAATACACGATTCGTTGTTGATTCTGACTTTTATTTTTTGCGAACTTGAAAGTATTTGAAAAAAAATAAAAACAACAAAAAACAAAAAGAACTTTTTAAAATAAAAGAGGAAAGGGGAAAAAGACTTAACACGTGATTTTATTTTTTTTTAAATGAATTCATGATAAGTCATCGGGAATATATTTTTATTGAGAGAAAATATATTTCTATTTGATCATTGATTTTATTCTTTCAGTGATATTTACAAGTTTTTACTATTGTCGATGGAGAATTCATTACACATTCATAATAATAAATTATTATTTTAATTACGATAATGAATTATGAATAAATATGTATATATGTATATATAATAATGGGATACATTGACAGACACAAAAGCTGTGAAACTTTCTTTACATATAATATTATTATTATTATTATCATTATTATTATTATGTAAATTTATATTTATTATATATATAAATAGGTGTATGTACACGTTCGTATATACGTTCGAGCATTTTATTTTCCATCGAATTTCACCGATATATATATATAGATATATACATACATAAAAAGCGAAGAAAACGTCGATTTCTTATTTCTACGAGTTTGCTGCGAAATATCAAATCGATTTTCTTCTATCTGTATATATTTATATCTATGATAGATATCATGTAATTGTGAAATATTCCCTTTCCTCGTAATTGTTTTTAAGACATTCTATGTCTCACTCATTTTAAGTATGTTACTTTTTTTTTAATTACCTTCGATATCTCATTCTCCTTACATTAAATTTATTTACATCGTCATTCATTAATTTTATCTTCGTATTTTAAAGAATTGGAGCAAGCTAGTTTCTCGATTTTAAATGGGTGAATAAAAATGAAATTTGATCCTCGTACGAGGATCAAATTTCTGTCGAAGCAATATAAATGCACGTAGGTACGTTTATAATTGTACGTCCAAGTTTAAAACAGAGATGGTTGCACGAATGTAGTAACGTAGCAATGCAGTTTTATTATTACAAATTATTTGTATCGTGCTCATTAAAGTGTTGTTAATTTTAAAGTGAAATCGCGAAACAATTACTTTTTTAATGATTCTTCTCTCTGTATTTTTTTCTTCATTAGCTCCCTTTCTCCAAGAATTTCAACTTTAAAGCGCTCGTAAATGTAGGTCGAAGCCTGTACACGTTCAAAGAGACAATTTAAATGACGATGCGAAAGAAAAATAACTTCTTTTTTGTTTTTTTTTTTTTTTAGATATTCTCGATAAGATATCGAAAGGTAGAAAATTAAAAGTAATTATGGAATATATATTTTTCTACGAGAAAAATATTTCTATACTGTATTGTAAATTCAAAGAAAATCTAATTGTAATGATTGTATGGCGATCGCTTCGGTGATTTATTATTTCTAACAGTAGTTCTTTTTTTATTCAAAGAGTTTTTTGTAAAAAGAGATCGAAAGAAGTATTTACTTTAGAATGAAAGATGCCTTAAAGTGATTTATTGTTAAAATAAAGCCGAGTTTGCTTGCTCGGGTAAACGAAAGAATTGGTTGATTGGTGGGTTGCAAGTAGGTAGGCTGTTCAAGAATTTTGTCGAGATTTTCTTTGAGAGTTAGAAAAAGAAACATAAGTAAAAATAAAAGTTTCAAATATTATTTCTCTTTCTCTCGGTGGATCTTTTAAACAATTTAAACCAATGACACCATCACGTGCTTTCTCGAAGTTGTCGAGTGCAGCATCCCTGGTCCACTTTTACGAGATGAATGTGCCGTCAGGGACGTCGTCACTGTCGTCCTCGTACTTGTGGTTTTAGCACCACCGGTGCCAAAGCAGTGATGTGGATTTGCAGTGCACCATCCCGAAACCCAGGAAATCGCCTGCATGTTCCTACCGAGCAACAGTTGCTCTTTACAATTTTTTTTACCATTTTTATTTATCATTTAGAACATTCTTTTTTTTTTATAGAACATTCTTTTTTCTATAATTTGTAAATTGCAACATTAATCAAATTATATTTTGCAATTTCGACTAACTCACCGTACATTTTTGCAGAATGGCGTACTGAAAAGACAATAGATGATGGGATTGGCAGCGGAATTCAATGGCGTTAGACTTTGTATAAAAGTAGCTACTGCAATGTTCGTCTGGGTTTTTGGTACGTGTCCGTAAACTTGTAGAAGATCGAAGATTATATATGGACTCCAGCAAAGGATGAATACTGCAATAATTAGAAGAATTGGATTGGTATGATAAGACAATGATTTTTTCTTCAATTTTAACGATAAAAATAATATGATAACAAATCAATGATTTTTTTAGTGATCGATCTAGTATATGGTACATGTGAATGAAAAATAAACTCTTCTAATGGCCACATGTTTGGATCGTGATTCAGAATCCTGATAGCCATTCCGATTGTATAAACACTTTAAGAATGTTCTCGTTGAACGAACTGATTGTATTCGTTCCCTTTTAATCCAATTGGTAAATGTAGTTACTGTTGTTTCGAGTGTTCATAAGTACGTTTGAAATCTGGCCAGGTCATCGATTTTCCTTTTACCTTTTTTTCCTTTGGAATACTTTTTCTTCTTTCATAGTTAAGAGACAAAAATTGAGGAATGATTTTGTTGTTTCTTTATCATTTATCAACTCTGTATCATCGCTCTTTGAGAGGAAAATTTCTCACTTTGGGAGAATATCGAGGGTGTCGTATCGACAGATCCCATCCTTGGACTCCTCCTTTACGCGAAAGTATCGTCGTCAGCTAGAAAAGAAGAGACCTCCAAAAAGACCAATCGCAAGAAGCGAATCTGATTAGCCCGAGCGATTTCTCGTACGCGTAAAATTGTCCCTGGCAAGATAAAGGGGGTGGAGGTTGAACGATGTACGTACGCGGGCCTTAGAAATCGAGATATACAGGGTGTCCTAGATAAAATCTAATGATTCGTAACACTTTACATACATTTATGTTGTATCTTTTATCTTTTAAATTAATCGAAATATCAGTTAGGAATGTTTAATTTTGATTTGTTCTACTTGATCTTTCGATCTTTTTTTTCAAATTTATCGAATCATCAACCACGTTTACTGTTCGTTATTGTATATTTATTTTACTAGGAGAACGTTAGTGTATTTTAAATTCATACTTTGTACGAGACACATTTATATTCCTCGACATCTGTCTTTTCAATGTTCTTCAATGTAACTGGAGACAATCGTATATTCAACGGACACACTGTATATTGAAGTTCCAGGCGTATTTTGCTCTCTTCTTTCCAAACCGTATATGGATGCTGGGAAGAGAGAAAAAGAACACTCGCTTATCTTCTTGTGGCCACGTCTTTTACGCCGTGCAAATAAAACGGTTCGACGATATTCGTGCGAGCAGGAAAAAATATATAGCTATCTATAGGGAAGTGTGTCGCATGGGAGAGAGAGAGAGAGAGAGAGAGAGAGGGTTATAGCTTTTTACTGTCGAATTCGTCGAGTCACTTTTCCTCCAACTTTCGAAAGAGCTCCCTCTAATCGTACACAAATTCTATTTCATTCTAGAGCTTCTTATTTCAGTCGTAACTAAGCAGATATTTCTTGTCAAACCTATCACCATCGATCATTTGAATTTTTCACCGAGCCTACGTGAAAGAATACATCAAAAAAATCTCGGAAAATAATATAACTCGATCGAGTTAACTTTTCCATTTACTCCATTTAATCCCAGATCTTTGTCGTTAAAGCCAAACTTTTGGTCAATGATAATAATAATAAAAAGTCCAGTCGTTTATTCGAAGTAGGGAAAAGTTGAAACTACTTACCAAACACTATGACAAAGGTCATCTTAACGGTCTTGATCTTTGCTCGTGGTATAAGACCCCTGGACGAAGCTCTTCTGATATCCCTGGTTGGACCCTGACGTAATGCGCTTCCTTGTGACCATATCGTTGCTACGATGACCATATAACAGCCTCCTATTATAAGGGTGGGAGCTATGAACAGGGTAAAGCTCACCAAACTCATGTAAATCCTCCATTGAATCGGTGATCCCAAGTCTATCCAGCATTGCTTCATTCCCTTCAAAATAAAATCAAAAATCGCCATGTATTTTTATTATTTTATCCGAGTAGAGAATAAATACACATATATTTTCTTTTCTCATACTTGTATACGTTTCTCCTCGTAGAGAAAGATGATGGGAGTGCTGAAGAGTGCTGAGAGACTCCAAGCAACCACCACCAACACTCGAGCTCTCCACCCTGTGTGTCAAATTCTTCACCTTACAAATCTTTATCAACTGCTACTATAAACGATAATATTTTTCATACGAAGAACTGGATATTGGATTGCTCTCTAATTAACTTTAAACACGTCTATAATTAAAGTAAAATTCTGCTTACTTTTTATTTGATCAGGTTTGATTTCAATATTTATTATACGATAATTGTTTATCCTATGTCAAGAAAATAATATTTAATTATTGTTTTAGAACATTATTATCGTGAAGAAAAATCGAAGAGATTTATCATCGACTATCGATAATTTAATAATTTTATTGAAGAGGAAAGGGTAAATAAGCAAATTACTTTACCTAAATTGTATTGTAAGAATATACAGGAATAGAGAAGAAAAGTTAAAGGTTTGGCAGGGGTTCGACGTTAACTTTTTTTATCAAAGGATTAATTATAATTAAGTTTACTAACAATGAGTTAAACTTACAATTAGTTTGGCAGTAAAATTGCATTATCTCTTGCATGTTTTTGCACTAAGTTAACGGAATGAAAAGGCTAATGATAAGAATGTTACTCGTATTTCAGAACATTTGTTTAATGTATTTAACATTGTATTTTCTAGTCGTAAA